AAAAAAATGGGATTTTGATAGAAAATGTTTTGTACAAATTTATTTAAAAAATATTAAAATTTTGATCGGCATTATCTTATTTTGTTCGTAGCCTGATTATTTGGAAAAATGAATAAATACATAATTCATTAAACCACGATTTAACTTTACAAAAAACTTTAATTGATGACATGACGTAGGTATGAAAAAAATTGTAGTCAGCTCCTGGTCTATACTTATATTAAAAAAACATTGAAAAGTTGTATTATAGTTCTCGGATGCTTACAATACCGGGGGAAACTATATTTTAGAGATTGATTGACCATGAATTTCTGACGATTGAGTAATAAATAATAAATTAAAGCGACAAGCGATGTTTAGGCTATTATCTCTCGCTCGGGTCTCGAGTGCACCTACTTATATATTTGTACTGTGGTTTCATTTTTCACCAACACCTAAGCACTCTTAGGCTTACTGATGTACAGTCAACAGCTCGTCAGGTTATACGAAACTGTCAAATTTCTCAATTTAATGCTTGAAAATCTACTGTAGCCCTGGCACTCTCAGATGGGACCCGAACCCACGACCTCACGCATCCGCATCCGGGTGACTGTTCTACCCAGGACCTAACAGGACTGATGAATTTTTCAAGCACTTGTTACTTTTTCGCTACTACAGAGCGTATTTTCATCAATGTTTAGGCAATCCACTCAATCGGCCGAAATAAATATTTAAACTTTCGATAAAAATGAAAAAATTATCTAATTATTATTTTTGAAAAAACTCTGAGATGGGACTCGAACCCATGACCTTTCGCAATCCGGGCGACCGCTCTAACAACTGACCTACCCAGGATTTAACAGGATTGACGAATTTGTTAATTTTTAGCTACTACAGAGCGTATTTTCATCATGTTCAGGCAGTAATTAAGAATATTTCGCAGTATAGCATTGTGAATGCAAAATTGATCTCAATTTGATTTTAAACCTTAACACATTGAGGGTAGAGTTCAAAATCTATTGTAGAAATTTGACATATTGTTGTAACTTGATGTGTCGTGTGTACCGGCGCAGAAGGCTAAAGCTGGGAATTCACTAGATTGGCATTCACTAGTTCAGTATAGGGCGGACATGTACCAGACAGTAATGACCGTCGCAGTCTTTACACCTATAGTAGCAAGGTCCGGCTGCAGACTTGCCCCCAGGCATGCCCGTCTAGTGTACTCCCCGCTTTACTTTCGAAGCGCGATAAATGTCGACCAATCAGATTGATATACAACGATACAAGTATCACGCTATCAGACGATACACTTATGTCCGCGTCCTTGACTTCCAGTGCGTGTGAGTGAGACGGACACCTTAATGCGTTGTATTTTACACCTTATGATTATCGAAACAAGATTCACTATTAATTTTAATCGTAAATTCGTTAGATATCGGTATTGGTTGACCTGTGTCCTAATTATCTAATTAGGAAATTTCATGATGTTGTTTATAAGTAGATGCATTAATTAAGATTTTTTTGTTTCCTTATTCAAAAATATTTTATTAGGGTTTTTTATTGTTGTACTTTAATACATAGGGACAATACATTAATAATAGAAGATTTTTTAGTGTTCTCCATTGAGTAATATACAAAGCACGACTGGAAGATGGAGGTGATGCTCAGAAACGAACTTATAATACTGAGCTACTGAGCCGCGTTCTCGAGGTATGTTCGGTAGCGTGACGTCACACGCTAAGGTACCGCGTGAAGCGAAATGATTCTACCGAGCGCAACTTCAAAGTCTCATTACTTTTTTATTTATGCAAATATCTAAGATTTTTTTTTAATAATGCTTATTCTTTAATTTTAAATAGAAAAAAAAAAATAGGTAACTTGTCAATTTCAATATCTATCGCAATCTTCTCCAAAGGTGTAGTAATTTATGGATTTATGTAACGTTTAAAGTCGCAATCGCTTCCGGAAAGAATAATGATTTGACCGATCACGAAAAATTATAAGAACTAAAACTTAAAGTAATATTTGCGTTAGATAATACCGCTTGCTTTAGTCAATTATAATTAACGACAAATTAACAATATCTTTCGCCCAATATCTTAAAAAAAACGCCACGACCGCAATCGCACATGTCAAATAGTTTAGTGTAAATATCTTTCAAATGTCAAATTGAAAGGGTCAAATTGAAGCGATAGATTTTAAAATTACTCAATTAGGTCTGGTCTGCGCAAACGAAACTTAACCATGCGCCATATAGTGGGAACTTACTGTAATAAAGTTATTATGATGATGATGAAAGTTATTATACTGCAAAGGAAAAAGAGTCCTAGATGTTATACCAACCATAGTTTGTCGTTGTTTTGGAGTGGTTTAAAGTGTCTGGCCTCCATCCACTGGTCGCTTATGAACTTGGTCATGTAATTCCGTATGTTGTCCGGTAACAACACGACGCACTTTTGGCCGGGACGCAGCGAGCGTGCCGCTTGTATCGCGCCCCACATTGCCGCACCGCTGCTGCCGCCTGATGGCACACACGAAATATTATAAAGGCGATATTATGTATGCCTATTTCGAATTTGTTTCGGTCTTGACATATGCTTATTTTAGCATATCGTACAATTGTTGAAAATAAGATAGAATATTCAGTTTCCGAACGGCTTCACTAGTATTTTATCTTAAAATATAAGTCTTTTTTTTATACATTTGTTTAGAGAATGAGAGATTTCTGTAAAAAAACAAATTCTTTAATCGGTGTGTCACTTTTTGGAGTGTGAACTGGAATGGGTATCGTTGCAGCCATTAATATGTTTTTGTTTTAAAAAACTGTATAAAAATTAAAATTATTAAATAAATAGATAATAAAAATTACGTTGAATTTTAATTCTATAAAAATCTGCAAATAATAACCTCTGTAATAAAACTTCTCAAGAAAAAGCATATTGTCAAAAAAAAGCATATTTAATAAATCACAGGGTAAAACCTTTCGCGTTAAGGTCGGTGCATATCTGACGGTATGCGCAAGGATACGTCGCATAATCGTCGGTCGCGGAACGTCAAAACTGACAAATATATGGAATGACATTCAACCTCGCACACTCAACGAAAGATTCTTGACTTAAGATTTGCACCAACAATACCGATAGATAATTATTATTTAATATTAAAAAATAAATAAACTCTTTCTGTATCTGTATATATGACCATTTTATTAATGGAGAACAAACTTGGTGTATTTGGTATATATTTATTATTTTACATTTCGGTTAAAGAAAAAACTAATTCAGATCGTTTCTGTGTGTCGTATCTTGAAGTTGAATGATTGCGTGACGTAATTGATTCTGAATATCATAAATACATGTAGGTATTTTAAACAGTTATCTTGAGATCATAGAGCAATGGTACGTAAAATATTTAAAGAAAATGTTTATTTTTAACGATATCTTATAAATAATTTACAAATCCAGTAGTGATTTACCACTTTTAAGTTTTATTGACAGTTTAAAATATAATAAGATTTTTTAAACAGATTCAAGCCATTCGCTATGTATTATACTAATTTAGCTTTTCGTCAGCGGCGTTGCCCGCGTGGTCCTTTGCTCGGGGTTGGTGAGAATTTATAAAATTCTTTTGGCCAATGACAAAACATTAACGTCTAAATTGCAACGAAATTAAATTTCTTATCTCGTTTACATTCTGTTTTTTTATTGTGAAAATTGATAAACGTGTAAGTCGTGTGTAGTGTAGTAGTAGTAGTGAACTATCGAGAACTTAATCGATTTTTTTTTATGTTTTGTTTTCAAGGAATTAACGAATTTTACCATCGCATACGCTTTACAGAGTTGATTTTGAACAAGAACTTTCGCATCATTTATCTCACTTGATATTGTTTTTATTATTTCTTGTTTAATTTTAAAGATAAATGACTAATACATATATATATATATATATATATATATATATATATAAAACTATATTTCTGTGTTTTTAAGTGTGACGTGATATCACAATGTGATGTAAGTATGTACTTCGTCACATTGCAATCGAAAAATAAACTATTATTGAATTCGTAATCTTGTGTAGTGATTGCGCAGAAATAAGTTCAGATAAGTGAATGACCTGTGATATGTGTCGTCAATTGAATCGGATTACTACATTGTCAAGTTTTATTTATTACTATTATGTGGAATTAATACTTTTATCGAAAGTAAAAAAAATGCTATCAATTTGTCTGTAGCTACACTAGCGAAATATTTTATGTAGGCACAACGAAATAGATAATGTAAAAGTAATTATTGAATTACATTTATTAGGGCACTATTTTATTTTTGCTTTCACTGACAGAATAAGTTGTGAAAAATAAGTAACGAAATTTACAAAAACTAAATTTACATTGTAATAAACTCTATTCTTATTTTGAGTCTTAAAATTACACGATTATCTTAAAATTAGAAGTCGAGATTTTTTGTCTGTGTGTCACGTGACTTAAAACACGACCCACCATTGTGTGTCGTCACCTGTCAGATTAATCTTAGAGATATGCCTATTACTTATAAATGAAATTCCTAGAATGCGCTGTTTTTAGCTTATTTATATCTATTTATTTCGTAATCGATCGTTAGAAGGCACTTTTCTTGTTTTATTCATATCTTTTAATCTTCCACTCTATGCATCTCTTTTGTGTACATCTGAATGACGTCATGAATATGAAGTAGACGGACAGCGTTTTCGCGGGTATACAAAACTGAAAGACTTGATTTAATTTTTAGGGAAGAGAAATTGTTTATTTTTTTTTATATTTGTAATATGCATTTTTTTTTAATAAACACTTATAAGTATTATTTTTTTAACAGGCACGACTTGACGTCACGCGAATTTAAAGATCTTACTGAAAAATAATAATTTTTAAACCTATCTTTGAAGCTTTTTAGCAGTTGTAACAGTTTCATAAATTTGTATGATTTATTAAATTCCAGAGAGAAATTAAAATTTAAAAGGTTAGCGTTTTGTTTCTGGTTTATTCACTACAAGACACGACTATTTAGATTTACGCAATACAAGGACTCTAGCTACTTAGTATAGAATCGAATGTTGTCTTATACCTATATTTATTATTAGAACTCAATGTTGATCTATAGGGATGTGAAATCATACCACATAGCAGCCCCTCGTCCTTGATGAGACGTCTTGCCATTTGCAAGGAATCCACATCATTGCACTTCACCCACTGATCGATTATAGCACGATCCAGAGAGCGCGGTAAGAAATCGTAGCCAATGCCTTCCACCTGTGAAACAAACAAAGGTTTTATGTTGTTTAAAGCTTTCATGGTCATTGGTAGTGTTGAGTTCCCGATATTTCAACACGATCACTCAACAAAAACAAGGTTCACAGTAGCAAAACGGCGATAAACTATAATTCTAATATAAAATAAACGTTAATTTATTTAAGCAAACAACACTATTAGGAAATAAAAAATTATTTACTCCGTCAGTTAGGTAAAAGAAAAATATTGGATACGTTTTTTTTTTTGTTTTGCTTCAATAACTATAATTCTAATATATAATAAACAAACGTTTATTTATTTAATGAAACAAAACTATTAGGGAAAGAAATTTTATTTAGACCGTCCGTTAGATAAAAGAAAAATATAAGATACGTTTTTTTTTTTGCTCAAATTTAACAAGAAATAATAATAGGCATTAAAGTTGAGGAGTGGGGACTCGCCTCGTCACAATTAGTGACGTCATGTGACATTTCAACTCAAAGAATCGCCGTAATTTAATGATTACTTAAAAATATAAATAATACATATTGACAACTCTTCAATAATGTAGCTGATGGACAGACAAATAAATTAATATTCTGAACACGTTTAAATTTCAATGCACTCATCAAATTCGTGGATCTTGCATGGATTATCATGTGGGTTAAGAACTGTGATAAAGATCAGATCTGTTCTAGATAATATTTAATTATATAAAGATATGAACGAATTATGTATGTCAATAAACTGATCATTCAAAATAAAGACACATCGATAATATCTCAAAATTGCAATAATACGATTATCAGTAACTAATTCTTTTTTCGATATTGGATCGCGATAATGTCAAAATAATAATGTATCTATAATAAATCGATCATTCCGTAAAATCAAAGTTTCTTTGGATTAGAATAAAATAAATATAATGGCGCCAATTCTGTTGTACCACTCTCTAATAAATTGAACTAAACTAAGTAAAAAAATAACTTTAATTTAATTTTGCTTTTTTTTTCTATTGTCATATGTAATCATAGAAATAAAATTACGCTCCAGTATATTACATATAATAAGTATAATTCTGATAAACATGTTACTTATTTTTACAATTGAAAACGCAATTTCACAGGAGTAAATTTCAATTTACTCAAGTTTGTTTAACAGAATCGCTTCCAATGTTAGATTGAAATCTATATTGTGCTTATACAACTCACTCATACATAATACTTGCAAAACCATGTAAATGTGCTGAGTTATAATAATTATATTCGTTTCTGTCGATAGGTTGTTTACATTATGTTTTATCACACCAGTTTTGCATCATACATAATGTAGGCACACGTCATGTTATGCTAATTTATTTCCTATCGCACAAATGCACGGTCTAGAAGTATAATGGTAAATAAAGTGTACATTTAGATGACATTAAATTCCTATTGTTACATTGAACATACAAAAAAATCCATGGAAAAATCTTACGTATTATAAACTCTACGAAATAAGCGCAAGCGATAATTGTCTTAAGGCGCGTATACAAAATAAGACATAACCTCCAAATAAGCTGTGGTGACTGAATAAGAAAACTACATCATATATTTAAATTAAATATACCCTTAATAATTTCAAGCTACTAAAAGAGTCGAAACATAAATTTATAAAAACTATAGACAAAAAAAATTTGTTGTAATTCTACAATTTTTATATTTCTTTCTCGTTTATATTCTATTCTTTTACTAAAGGGAAAATTGATAAATATGTGACTCATTTTGTAGCCAAGTAACAGTAATCGCAATGGTTTGTGTGTAATTAATTAAATATAGTTTTTGATACGAAACACGCGTCAGCCTCTTTGCCTATCTCATTGACACTATGCGTTGGTTTCGTTTTTCTCTTTTATACGTGGCCAGTAGCCGTAACAGTCCAGTAGGCCAGGCCAGTATTGGCCTCATAGTAAATCAAGTCAGCCCAATGAAATAGGACGGTATCTAATTTTATTGGATTGGCTTTGCTACTGGCTTCGTGCAAATGGTCCATTAAGGTGGCAGAGCACAATAAGACACTTAATGTAGATGATGAATAATATATGTATTATGATTTATGCTTAATAACTTCAAGTAAGTTTATTGTATAGCAACACCCGTGGAAAAAACCTTTGGACACTACGTTGTACTTGTTTGGTAATGATATTTTCAAATTAAATAGCTTACATGATGACTTGATGGCGCTTTTATTAGGAACCATTCAATGGAATTTAAAGTAGTCTATATGTAATAAAGTCATAGAATTATCCATAGCAAATGTCATAAAAATAGGACAGAGTAGGAGTTTTGTGTAGAAGTACGTACGTGTAATTGTTACTACAATTACCTAAATCTACTAACTTTCGACTTTATATCTATTAGTACATGATTCCTTATTATCAGGTAGTTTGATTGAATACTTGATAATTTCCTTTACTATTATTATCAAATATACGTACATTTGATTTTAAATTGAATGGTTTTCCGGTAACTAACTCTTCGTTATCATCTATTTAAGTCAGTTGTATGAATCCCACTGGCTAATACCGTTGTTTATCATTAGTACCTATAATTTTTATGATTATTATTTTCGTAACATAATAATGGAATTATCTATTCAGATATCACATGATTTATAATATATGTCGAATGTTTACTGCCGCCGCTTCTAATGCGTTGTTAATCATGACCAATGAAAACCAGTGGAATATTTACAGTTTCATTATTAGTAGTTTAGAAGTTTTTTTTTAAGTTCATAATTGTCCAAAGGTCAAGTTCTAATGGTGCATCTACTCATCTGGCAGTATGGTATCACTTTTTCCGAACTGCTTTTTGTTAGAGCGAGAAAAACAAAGGGCGTGCGAAACTCTCTAGAATCTTCTATCGTTCTCTTTCTATCATCAGAAAAGGATGATAACGTGCTGCCAGGTGTAGCTCGATCCTAAGGCAGAATTGTGGTTATATAATAATTCCAGCTAACAGTATTAAGGGTTTCAAAAACGCTTGAGCTGATCAATTTAGTTTCGATGTCATGTAGAAAAAGATACTTAAATATACATTGACAATAATAGTCTAACCTAACCAAGTTAACCTTGTAGAGTAAGATGAACTAATGATATTTGTATTAATAATAATATATGTATGTACATACACTTTTTAAATGACTTCAAAAAAGGAGGTTCTCAGTTTGACCTGTATGTGTTTGTGCACGATTTTTCGCGTTTTGGATGAACCGATTTTGATGCGGTATTCAGCATAGTATTTGTCAGACTTACTAGGAGAAGGTTTAAGGGCATTAAGCGACTCAAAAAAATTGAGATCCGCACTTTAAACATGTGTTGTATGTATTGTCCGCTATTATCTTGCATTTGACTGAACCGACTTTGACGCAGTTTTCAGAAAAGTATGTTTAGTGATACCTATTATAAATAAATATTAATATCACTAAAAAACATGAAATAAAATCTTTAAAAAAAGAACCGACTTCAAACTTAAAAGAAGTGAAAAATAATACTTATCTCAAAAGCGACTTTTTCAAAAAACGCTATCGAAGTCGTTTAATTAATAACGTACAGAAAACCTCCGTTCGTCTTTAATAGCACTTTCTTGAATAAGTTGCTTGTGAGATAGGTAATATTTTTCACTTCTTTATTATACGAATCGCCGTTTTATTTCTTCAACAACTTGTGTTACAGACACATAGACAATAAACTTTATCCCATCTTTGGCACCTGAGATTGTCGATTTATAAAATATTTTTCATATGAGATAGCAAGCCTTTTCTTTTTCTATAACTTTTGTTATAAAACAAGAAGAGTTAGTTGTCTTACTATTTCTTTTTTGGGTAATATCTCGCAAGAAATAATGTCCATATTATGTAAAAATTATAAAAAAATTACTGATATTCGTGTATTATACACCTGATCCAATTTATAATAATGACAATTATAAATAAGCTAGTTAGTTTTTATCAAAAATCGTATGTACATGCGCCAGCTGGGACCAGTTAGTAGTTCGGACTAACTAATAAATCGTTGTTTTATTAGCTTGTTTTTGTAATCAATTCATTATTAATTATACACCATAATTTATTTATAAATATATTTAAAAACTAACAATGCATCGTAAATTTTAGAATCTATGACGCATTGTTCATACAAATTCGTTGCAAACTGACCTCATAGTACTGTACGTCCGTTACATTTACTTCATCTGGTTGGGCAAGGATGGATCCGTATGGATCAACACCAACTATGACACAATTGGGGCACCGTTCCTTAATCTTGTGTCCAACACCGGAGGCAGTTCCGCTGGTGCCGGCGCCCATCACCACCATGTCCACATCGTCATCGAGAGACCACAGAATTTCTTCAGCTGTGCTGTCGTAGTGCGCGAGGGGATTGCATGGGTTGTTGTACTGTGATTTAAAATGAAAACTAAATTTTTACTCAAACTAATAATACTTAAACAAAAAAATGCCATTGTCCAGTAGTATGTGACCCTTGTAAACTAAAAACAAAGTTTTACAAACTTTATAAACAACAAATTTTTACAAATGCTTGAAAAATTGGTGCTATTAGGTACTAGCTCAGTGGTCAGAGTTGTGGCCCGGATAGCGAGAGGTCGTGAGTTCGAGTCTTACCTCAGAGTACCTGGGTGGGGTTGGTGGATTTTTTAAATAAATAAAGAACATATTTTTAATTTTTCCAGTACAAAGAAAATTTGTCATGACAACCAGATAGATATACATTCAAAGATTTTTTAAAAGGCATAAAGTTACCTGATCCAAAACAACAGCGTCTGGTATTTCTTTTGAAAGTCGTTGTGCAACCATAATGTTGCTGTCAGGGTCACTGGACGCTGCTTCTGTTGGTGTTCTCACAATCTCTGCTCCCAATGCTAATAGTGTATTTACTTTTTCATCTGACATTTTCTCAGGTAGAACTATTATACATCTATACCCTTGAATAATTCAAAGAAAAAGATTAAGGAAACATTTTTTTTTATTTAGTTCATTTGATATTCATACTAAATAATAAGAATTATGAAAATATATATTTTTTTCATTTTTGATTATCATTAAAAAAGCTTTTATTCAACAGTCTTTCACAAGACTTTGTAATGGCAACTATGAATACTTTATACACTTTAATATAATCACTACTTACCTACTTCAAGAAGATAATTATAATTGATTATTAGTATATAAGAATAATAATGTGCACTAGATAAAAATATTTCAATTACAATAAAATGAATATGCTCCAGAACTATTATTTACCTTTAACAGCTGAAGCTAAAGCCAAACCAATTCCAGTATTTCCAGATGTTGGTTCAATAATAACAGATTTACCAGGTTTGAGAATTCCCCTTTGTTCAGCATCTAATACCATTCGGTAAGCAATGCGATCTTTTACGGAACCACCAGGATTTACAAATTCACATTTTGCATCTAAAAAAAATAAATGCATCTAAAATTGTTGTAACGTTATGTATGATCTAATAATAATGTTACATCTGCATAACTTCCACTTTTCAAGAAATTTCAAATTTAAATTATACAAAATGGTCTGTTATTTTGGTGTTAATTATTTAAGAAATTAATTGCTACTTATATAGACTAGTGAAACCTCTATCTTCATAGCTTAATTATGAATGCTCGAAGTTAAAACTTTTGAGAAACATTCTTGTCCCTAATGAACAAAAATAAGAATTACTTAAAACATAAGCACTTACACATTTCACACTGGATACCCTCTTCTTTGGGAATTGTGGACAGTTTTACAAGTGGAGTATTTCCAATAGCATGAAGAATATCTGGTTGAATTTTCTGACGGCGATCACTAAATATAAAAATTGTGTAAATAATTATTAATTTTACCGTCTTATAAAAACCAAAATGTTTCACAGAACACTTGCTTTAAGACTTAAAAAAATAAAATGATTTTTATTGATAGTTAATTAAATTTATCAAAATTTCACAGACCATTAAAAATGAAACTACATAATTTAATGATAATTATTCTTCATTTGTTTTAGTTTTAGAACTTTAATTACTACTTGTGAATTGCTTAAACATCAATGTTATTTAAAAATGGAGATATTGTAAAGGTTTAATTTACTTACAGTGGTTTTACAATATGTGGCAATTCCTTGAGATTAAAAAAACTATCGGAGTCTTTTGAGCTCCCATTTTCCACATGGTTGGACATTTTCTCACAGATCCGGCAAAAGCACGCTGTATAAAAAGTTTTATAATTATCTCAAAGATAATCTAGTTAACGTAGGATATAGTTTTTATGTATAAAATTAGTTCCGAAATTATTTTTCACTCCTGATTGAAATGCGGTAGAAACTGGAATGTTTTAATTTAGCGTAGCACAAAACACCATTATATCAAACTTATGATAGCACGAGTCCAAGCGTTAAGCATTATAATAAAATCGTATATCAACCGTATTTCTTTTAAACGACTCTTATACATAAAATTTGGGCCCCCCCCTTTGTACGACTTTAAGCTTTATAAAAGCTGTGCAATAGCACTACAACTTTTGTATAATAGCATTAATAAAGTCGGGTAAAAGCATTCTAATAGCCACAAAAAGTTCAATTAGCACTTTAAAGTGCTAATTGAACTTTTTGTGACTATATTACAATTGATATGCGTAAATCAAAATTATAATACGTTAATTTAATATTATAAAAATGCTCACTGTTTTATTTCCTTTGTAAAATAAGTATATTTAATAGATTTTAAAAATATATAATCGGTTTAAGTTATTGTTTTGTGTAAGTGTCATGACATGTTCTCTTGGCTGGTCTTTTAAGTATTTTTTAATATTGATTTAAACAGCTCGTTATGTGTGAAATAAACTGCAAACATCAGTTTGTGGAGTAAAATATACAAGTTTATGGTGTAAAATACACGCGCCTTCGCAAACTTCATTTAATATAATAAAAATAATAGAAAATTTAACCTAGTAGCAAAATTTTTTGTTGAATTTAAGGCTTTTTAGCATTGTTTTAACAACATAATTGCTTTTATAGGCATCTGTGCACAAAATAAATGACTATTTACCCCTTTTCATCTGACACAGTTGACTTTAAATATTTTGTAAGAATTGGAAAAAGAAAGCAAATGGCGACACATAAAATTAAACCATTAGGTATTCAAATATAGTGTAGTAGAGCTGTTAATCGTATTATGGTTAGACACAAAACTAAGAGCTCGTAATTCATCGTATAACACACTCCCATTTTAGGTACAGCCGTATTTTAACACTTCAGAAGTATCTTATAGTGCTTATAATCATCAAACGATTATTTCATTTTTAAAAGTTTCAATTAAATTAGTATACTCTTTTTTCAGTTTTCTTTTATATCCACCTGTTTTCTTTGTTTTCCCAACCTTTTTTGTCCATGGCGCCATCGATGCGTATAAAATGCCACCATTACAATACAATACATAAAATAATTTTACATTTTAATTTCACATAAAATATAATTACGATCTATTTATTTCTTGTATCTCTATAAATAACTTAATATTGATCAAAATATAGCCTAATGTTTTATAAAAGCATAGATTAAGAAGATAAAGGAGCTTGAGCTTGATTAAAGAATACTTTAAGAACAAATCGGTGCTAAAGTTTTACTAGTTCTTTCTTCAATGTGTATATAGGATAAGCATTAAATCGATACAACCATAGGCCAATAGAAAACCTTTGTTTCTAGAAAATGACTAAATACAACTAAGTGCACTAAATAATATTACGTTAATGCTTATATAATATATAATGTTTTTCATATCACCGAAATACGATAACAGCTTTATATTAATATTACTCAATACTTAAATAGGAGTTTTGACATTGGTATACTTCTTTTATTAACCATAATATGGCATTAAGCATTATTAGATAAAATAAATGCCTTTAAACAGATTGAAACTTGACCAGTGCTGATTAAAAATGTTAGTATGACTTTAGGACATAAATCGGTACTTATTTTAGTTAATATATTATTTATGTGCTAGTTCCACAGAACGATCATTCTGCAATTAGAATTCGTGTTTTTTTTTTTTTTATTCTTTTAGTGATATGTTTTATTGTACCTATCAAGACCACTAATTTGACACTAATAATGCTAAAAAATACAGAAAAAGTACTATATTTTAAATGACGACATACATACGCTAAGTTGTATATTTTAAAAAAATATACATATATAGCTAGTGTCATTTAAAACGGTAGCTTCTTACTTACTATGGTGTCACTCGGGACGATGTAACATCTCTGTCGTATCATATTTCCGTTATGTATTTAAATTAAAAAAAATATAAACATTAACCCTTAGCACAGTACACACACTCCTCTTTGGGCAGTCGTGTCAAAAAAGAAGAAGCTTCACAAAAATGTCTTTTTAAAATTCTTCCACTCTAGGCTAGGCAGATGAGCCTGAAAGATCATTCAGGGCATTATTTAGTTAAGACATATCCATAAATAAAGGCTTCAGTTATGCGTTAGATCCACGTTTTATTGTTTTAGTGTAAGCAGAATGAAGTGGAAAGTGGCATTCATGCACCGTGTTTGATATCACCGGATTGTTTTGTACAAAGAAACAACGTCTAAATGAACTGTAAGTATGTCTTTGACGTAACGTTTAAGGCTCGAGGCAAATTCATCGGATATTAAATTTTTTTATAATAAATGTCCGGAATAAGGATTTTCCTCTGATCGGGGGCTCCTTCCAGCTCCCAGCTGGAATTTTGCAGACTAGCCATTCTGTAATTACGCCACTGTGCATGTGAGATAAATGGGATAATTATACATCACATTTGGATTCTGTTACAATGAAAACGTTATAAATTTGAATGATTTTATATTTTTTTTTCCCATTAGGAGTAAATTATATATATTTTTTTACTTTCATTCGCCTTTTTTATTGTAGTGGATTATTTTCCCTTGATAAATGTGTAAGTTACTTTGTAGCCAAGAGAATTATTCAGCATTTTTACAATAATCGTTATATATTGTAATTAATTAAAAACTGTTTTTGCCGCTCAATTCATCACCCTCTGTCTTATTTTGACAGAAGCAAAATTTTGACTTTACGACCCATGGAATCAATCTGGAAACTTTAAAATTACTTATATAGAATCTTATGCAGCACTGGATTAGCCACGTAGCAAAAGTAACAAATGCTACAGGCTCCGTTCTGACTTTAATCCGGCACAGTTATACACCGAGGCAAGTATCGATGAATTAGATAATGCTATTGATAGACTTAACAGTGACTTATTAGCTATAAAAATCTGATCGTATAATTTTGGTGTCCCTGTTAATCCTTCAAAATGCCAATATATATTGGAAGGGCAATGCATTATGAAGAAATTAACTTTAGTTATCATGGCTCCATTATGTATGTTGGTAGTTCGATCCTTTTTAGACCAAGTGTAAAAGATCTAGGATAACATCTTGACTCAAGCTTCAACTGGCAAGCGCAAAGTAAGTAGTGTTTGTCAAAAATAATTGGAATACTGCGAGCACTTTATCGTCTTAAAAACTTCCTGCCAGTCAATATTAAAGCTATGCTTGTGCAGTTCTAAATATTTCCTATAATCAACTACCGACCTGACCTGAATACCTCGACCTGAATGCAAATCTACTAAATTCACCGTACCGTTGGACATCAGAATGTCCACCAGCAAATTAACATTTAAAAACAAGCTGCGTAGCTTTCTATTCATCATCATCATCATCAGCCATTTTACGTCCCCACTGCAGGGGCTCAGGCCTTCCTTATGGATGGTTAAGGAGGATGGGCCATGACCCTCCACACTGGCCCAATGCGGAGTGGAGGGTATTAACGACTGCACATGGAGGTGGGACCAACGGCTTAACGTGCCATCCGAAGCACGGAGTAGCTCGAGATAATAATTTTTTGGTCACCCATCCCGTGACCGACCCTTGCGAAAGTTGCTTAACGACAACGATTGCGGGCCGCGGCGCTTATCCAATACGCCACCGAGCTACTCAGCTTACTATTGGAACAGGCTTATTCGTTACGCCGTTAGTCGTCTACATTATATTATATTATATATGTACATTATATATTATATTAGTATATGTAGTTATTAATGTATATATCGACGCTGGAAAACAAACACGTAGTAACCAATATAAAAATTGTTCTTGTTTTTTTTTGATAAATAATTCCTATAAACATCCATGGTAACAAATAAGGTGTTCCTTAGTCAATTTATACGGAAATAAGATTTTTTTTTTTGGAAAAATATAAAGATTTTCCACTCTAAATATCCATTTTGGTTTTGCAGGTTACTACGTGTTTGCTTTCCAGCGTCGATATTTATTGTTTATGTAAGTTTATGTATTTTGTTATATGTTTTATTTCCCTTATTAATATCTCCACTGCAATTGTGCACACTACCACATTTTATCTCCACATCACCCATGTGGCTTTTTGACTGGTAGAAAATGCCTAAAGCATTTAGTCCGCCAATGTAATATGTACATGAAGTCTTAAATAATTAAAAAAATAAATTTTAGCCTATAAGTACGGGCGGGATGATAAATAGCTAGCCTAGCATAGAAAAACTAGTGTGTTATAAGTCCTAAATTGAATTAAATTAGTGTGTTATAAGTCTATTTATTTTTCGACATAGTCTCCTTGAAGCGCTATGCACTTCATCCAGCTATGCTCTAAAGCCTTGATGCCATCTGAAGTGCTGAAGTGGTTTTCTTCAAGCCCTTCAAACAACTGTCAACTGCAGACATCACCTCGCTATTATATTCAATTCTTTGTCCACCTAAAAAATTGTTGAGCTTCGGGAATAGATGAAAGTCAGATGGTGCCAGGTCAGGAGAATAAGCTGGGTGTGGTAACAAATCATAATTTAATTCTTTGAATTTCGCCATCGCAGTGATGCACGTGTGAACGCGCGCATTATCCTGATGAAAGATTATTTTTTTTAGCCAGGCTGGGTCTTTTTTCACGAAAACACACTTGTAATTTATCCAGTAGATCAGCATAATATTCGCCATTTATGTTTTGTCCTTTTGGAAGGTAATTTCATCAATATACCCTTCGAATCCCAAAATACTGACGCCATGACTTCTTCCGCTGATTTCACGGCTTTTGCTTTTCTTTGGAGCCGGGGATCCTTTTTCCGTCCATTGTTTAAACTGAATTTTTGATTCAGGTATATAGTGGTGAACCCAAGTCTCGTCTGTAGTAACAAACCGTCGCAGAAAATCAGTTGTATTGCTCTTAAAGCGGTCCAAACATTCTTGTGAAATTTGCATACGTTTTTTGTCAACTGTAAGCAATCGCGGCACCCACCTTGTGGATGATTTTTTCATACATAATTCTTGAGTCAAAATGTAATGCGCCCGTTCTTTAGAGATGCTTACAGTATCAGCTATCTCGGAAAGTTTCAATCTTCGGTCAGCTAAAACTGCATCATGAATTTTGATCACAATTTCTGGAGTAGTAACACTTTTTGGACGTCCTGGACGATGTTCATCTTGGGTGCTGGTACGGCCTCGTTTAAATTCAGCCACCCAATTTTTTATGGTCGCATATGAAGGAGTATTTTCTCCCAAAACATCCTTCATCTCCGAAAAAATTTCTCCACCTTTAAATGCTTTTAAATGAAAAACTTGATCACAGCTCGTAGCTCAATTTTATTAATTTTGAAGAAAAAACAAAAGATATGTCAATATTTAAAAGAAAAACTTTACGATCGATATGAAATTTGGAACACTGGCAGCTAATGAACCAATGAGTAAAATACTAAGGAGATTTTATATCGTTATTATACAAAATATGGGTTGGGCTAGCTATTTATCATCCCGCCTACGTATATCAACCCCTTGCGATGTGGTTAACCGTAGGTGAAAGAATTTGTTCCGTAGTTTCGAAGCCTATTCGATGCAAACAAACAATCTTTCCTCTTTATAATATTAGTATTATATTTTACATAAGAGATAAACCAAAACTGGACTTTAATAATAAAAAAAGAACTTGTTTTTGCTTACCTTGAAGTATGTGACAGGACCGTATCATGAAGGCGTGAAAGTTTAAGTGGTATTGAAAAATATAGTGCGATGAATAAATCTTTTTATAGGCTCCTATCCACACTCATCAATTTTTTCATTAGCGATTTCATAGCGACACGATATAGTACAAAATGAACACATACACACAAGAAATTAAGAGAGCGTCTAAATCATATTTTCACTTGTACACATCCTAAAATACTAGAAAAATTGATAAATAAAAATGACTGTAGCGGTGTTGGCAGTAAGATTTATTGCACAACAAGATCAATATACGCATAACATAGGAAAAGAAATTAACAAATTATGTGCCTTATCACTGAACAGCGATCTCTTCCAGGCAACCTATTTACTGAATTAGCTTATGCTGATACGTAATTGAGGCACGACTTGCAGAGCGACTGCAAATTTTATTAATTCAGGCTTAGAATTATCCGTACACCAAATTACTTCAAGATCCGCTCAGTAATTTATGCGTAAAGGAAAACCTACATAAATATACATCCTCACAATTTCTTACATTTATGTAATTAATAGGATAGGATAAGATAGTAGGAGTTTAAAATTAATCTGTCCAGCTAACAGGTGGCAGACGGACGGACGGGTAGACAGAGACACAAGTGTTAAAAAAGGCCTCCTTTTTAGGGTTCCGTAGTAATTAAGGAACTCTTACAGTCTACATCCGCGGTTACTATTGGTACTAGAAATTTGCAATTTGGCATGAGTATACACTTAAAATAAAATTTCGAAAACATTTTTTTTGCGTGTCTCCTCTACATATAAAGTGGGGATGATAATTTCTTTCTCGTCTTCCCCATAGCGTGGAGCATGGTTGGATAGGTCTTTCAAAGACATTGGGAGTGTGGGAAGGCCGGTTATCGATTTAGTAAACCGTTTGTGAATATTATTCGGGCCAACTGATCAACAACTAAACGGCCGTTGCTAAAAATTCAAACGTTACTACAGTAGTACCTATATATAACGAAGTTAAAAGGAAAACTATCAAATTCGAAAATTTTGATAACAACTAACTTGATTTTACCTTTTTTAATGATATGGAACCCTTCGTGTGTAAAATCCAACTCGCAATGGCCGGTTTTTTTGTTTTGAGATAGGAACCTTTTACATATAAAATAAGCAATCACGTAGAACCCTATACTCCGAGAAGTCCGGCACACACTCGATTGATATTATAATTCCAAAATGTTTGAGGCGATAAACTGCTCTTTTGGTAGAAAGTATGTTAGTCTATCATCATCATCATCATCAGCCGTAAGACGCCCACTGCTGAGCATAGGCCTCCCATAGATTTCCACGACGATCGGTCCTGCGCTGCCCGCATTCAGCGGATTCAGGCAACCTTTATAAGATCGTCGGTGCTATCGACTGAGTGCCATCTGGTATGTGATCGCCATTCGAGAACTCTTCCGCTCCAAGAGCCATCAGTTCTTCTTGCCATGTGTCCCGTCCACTGCCACTTCAGGTGAGGAATTCTTTAAGAAAAGTCAGTAACGTTTGTTGTCCTCCTCTTTCTAATTCGACCACGTAGAGAAATACCAAGCATTGCTCTCTCCATTGCCCGTTGGGTAACCTTGAGCCTTTTCTAGTGAACGACCAATAGTGATGTCAGTCCATTCTCAAAAAAATAAAATAATTCATTAACTAATTTTAGAGTGTTTACGAGACTAATTTTCGAGAACTTAATATCATAGCATAATTAGTATTTATACTATGCTGATATATACACTTAATGTCATCGGAGAGTTAACTTTCCGACTACGAATGTGAACTCACTAAAAATCATTTTAATAAATTTAAAGCTAAAATTATAATCCACCTTTTTGTTTTATTTTAAATAGTGAATTGAAATAAGCTGGGTCTACTCGAGCTATTACCTGTGAACAATAGCAATGTTCATGGTAATTAACTTCTTGAAACTATTGATAGGCCATTCGTTGGCAAGGTTGCACACGTAAGTAGGTATTTCAGTACATGTGCGTACTTTTAATAACAGAATAAAACTAATCGGCCTCTCAAAATTGAAGAGAATAATTAACTAGGTAGTGGTTAACAAATCTGAGAAACTTGTTTTGAAGTCAAATCCTAGACAGTACAATGGAGTCAACATTCGCCATATGGCATTACTGATATTATAATACTAGTTAATGTTTTACTATTTTTAGTGAACTTGGGAATTCAACGACAATATTCAGTTGAATTGACAAGCCGATTAAAATCTTTATCACTGATACAACAGCACGCACTATAAGCCTGTTCACGGATGTATTTTATTTTATACGTTTTCAACTAGTTGTAATATTGGATTTCCTGTACGTAATGCGATAAAGAAATTAACTTCTGGGTTTCAGAATTTAATTTTTATTTATTTAGACAAATGCTAGGTTCTAATTTTTTTTAAATACTTTGCGCTTCCTCCCTACATTCTGTGTTTCTAAATGATCTTAAGAATTTAAACAATTTTTGTGTACCTATTTATGATCGGTATCTGATATCATTCTCTATCTCCCCACCTGTTTAACGTGAGTACTTGTATTATCGTTCGTAGCAATAAAAATAGATTGGTATTCAATAATATCTAATAAATATAGAATAACAATGAATTTAGATAAGTTTTGTAGCGACCTCCCAAGCAACACACAAGTCAAATAAGAGCAAAATGAAGTAACATTACGCAGTTTCTGGTGATAGCATTACGAATTTTTGGGCCCAAATTACTCTGTAAGCTAGATAAATTCTGTACTTAATTGAACATCTATTATACCTAATAACATAAATACCTAATAACCACAAGTATCAATATTACACAAATAATATTCAGATAAAATCATAACTATTAGCTAAAAGTAGCTGGAAATTAAGAATAAGTTTGGCAAATATTCAAGTTCCTTACTTTTCCAGAAGCTAATGTTTTTAGTTTTTATACAGAAAACGACTGCATTAATGAAAGTGAGTAATGTATTATTACAAATTTATAGCGCGAGAAGTATACAACGGCCTTAATATTCAGATTAAAGCGTACTACTGTATATTCAGCTTACGATAGAAAAATATAAAAACCTAACTTTGTTATACATAAATTCTGCGTTCTTATCAAGAAAATATCAGCCATTATTTTAAAGTTAAATGCCGTCTCACAGTGATCACGTCTGTAGTGAAAGGAATTCAGTTCGCAAGAGGCTGTAAAAGACTTATATTACGTATTAAATTAATGTGATAAAAATTTACAGGAAACAAAGGAGTATGAAAAACTTGTTACATGCACTACTTTCCTTTTCTGAAAGAGAGTGTGTTGGAGGTATTTTTTTTGGGGTTTAATTTATGTCATATCCAATTCAATTTAGTAGGTACGAATTAAAACTATTTATTGCTTGACATCGTTTATTTCAATATTAAATTAGACAATTTCTTATTAAATTAGATAAAATCCATTAGAAGAACGCCATTTCGTTTTAAGTTAGATTATTAGGCACCAGTGATCCATTTACCATGTTGTAGAATCATGTATGTAATCTAGTACATCCTTCGCTGTATATAAGGCATAAGGTTTGAAGTGATCTGTAAAGTAGTTAAGTTTGTTTTAATAAAATTTTATTGTTGCCAATCTAAATGGAAATGTTTTTGGCAATAGTACTCAGAGAAATATATTTTATTATTTTTAACTGTGATAAATCCACTTTAATTCTACATTCTATTGACATTTAACATTCTGATGTGTTTTCGAGGGTATGCTGTTCTGTATCGCCAGCTGCAGACGTTTCGGATTTGCAAAAAGGTTGAATATCTACTTAAATACACTCGCTACCTCAAACCTCCTTAAAGCTGTGAAGGAAAATTATTATGAAGAAATAATATTAAACGCAATGTTCTTTTTTCTTTGACATGGCTTTGACTTGAAAATAGATAGATTTACATGCCATATTTATTAAAAATTATATGCACACAATTATCTCCCAAATTGAAAATGGTGGTAATTAGTTTTTTAGCTCATAGTTCGTAAGTACTCTCTATTATATGCCAGAGTTTCATCGCGTGCACTTTAGGCACAATCTATTTGGTTTTATTTCTTTCAACGCATTTCAGAATAAGCCTGTGAGCTCAGCAATTTACATGCCATCTCACACAATCATTACGTACAACAATTTATTTTTAAAAACTAAGAAATCGATAAATTGGAGAAAGAAATTAACTTACTTATATCAATTTCTTGACCGACGATTACAAATGGTGCTATGTCCAGTACTCGAGACACGAGACCGACAGTAGGTATCCCTTTGTTGTCATTGAGAGCCAACTTATAGATATGTTTCACAAGATATTGTCCACATGACTCAGAGAAGTTGAATTCCTCAGTTTTCTTGCCGGGTATAGTGGTAGGATTAGTTGCGTAGTTTCGGAAGCTGTCTATGGAAACGGCACCAACTAAATATCTGAAAACAGCTTAAGTCTAAAAATTGGTGTGTTTCATTCGGACTGACGATGAGGTAAAAGGAAGGAAATTTAGAGTTCTTTATATGAACACATGAATTTCGGCACAGCAGTATGAGTTGAATCGATAGAATTATAATGTCAACTGTTCTGTCTGTTCTGTTCTGTTTAATGTATAAAAATGCCTTTATTTTGCCTATTTCCGCTTGGATCGATTTGATATTAGCCTTAAAATGGGTTTGTAGGTCATCACCTACCACCTTCTCATCAGAAGTGAACATCATTTGAGACGTACTGAAATTTGGCAGTGATTTTGAATTACCCTAAATTTAAAATCGAGTGGAATTTCACAATTTATTGATGATTTACTGAGCACAGTTTAATTACGTAATCTCTGAATAACTATATACATGCGAATCTATTGATAACAAATTTATATGATTTTTTTAAATTTGTAGTTATCGAACATGACTTGAACGAGGTATCACTTACCCTTGTTTGTCTACTACTAGCGCAACTGTAGAGCGTTTCATTGTCAGTTGTAAGTAGGCGTGTCGACAAGTGTCTGATGGATCAATTTTAATGTAATCTTTTTTTGGCACATCTGTTATTGGTCTATTCCACCACCTGATTTAAACAAAATTTAGTAAGAACAATGCTAATAACACTGTATTCATCTAAATAGATAACTGGTTTATTGGACTACATTACAAGTTATTGTAAAATGCTTAGTTGAGGTATAGAAAAATTCATAATGACAGATAATGCGATTCGCACAACCGTAACTAAGTGTGAAACAGTAGAGAGGTATACAGCTCAGTGATGAATGTTCCATAAGGGAACAGACACCGATTTTCAGCTGTACCCATCGGTTCGTCGTTTGATCGCTAGCTATACCTATATTATACTATGTTCATTCCCTTAATGAAACATGGTGTATTGCGGTTTAGGAGTGCCAAAACTTTGGCGTTGGTAACATAAACATAATATAAATTTGCTGAATGTATTACACTTATTGTATTGGATTTAATAATAAAAGTGTCAGTGTTGAACTACATATATTGTCTGGCTACTACATCACACCACAACAACCTACGCACGCATAAACACGAAACGAAATTAGAAAAATCTGTTTGCATGAATTAACCAAAGGATCATTTTGTTTAAAACATTTACTCTTCTTCTGATTTATCGTATTTTGCTTAATAATGACCGTAAATACACGTGGTGACTGAAATAAATCGCTTGTTTTCAGATTTTATTCATACTTTTATTATCTTTACGTACTTCATGTCATGTTGAGGCGGTTCCAGAAAGCGATAAGCCTCCATCCACTGGTCGCTGACAAACTTAGTCATGTAGTTGCGGATGCCGTCCGGCAGGACCACTACCATTCTTTGTCCAGCTTTAAGCTTAAGTCGTTTGGCGGCTTTTATAGCAGCTGCTGTTATGAGACCACTACTGCCTCCTAAATGGGCATCAATATAATAGCACTATATTATTTTCTTAAACATCTCTAGTTAGCTATATCTTGATGAAAGAGAGAGGAGCTCAATGGAGCAGCGGTTAGGTTAGCCCGTTTGGTCATGGTCTGTGCCCCTACAGTGGGGATATTATACGCTAATGATGATTTACTAAATATTGAATATACGAATAGGTTATGTTGCCTACATTTAGGGTACGCGACAGTGTCTTGAGTCAAGTTTTGCCAAACGCCATTTTGTTCATTTTCTTGTACATCATTTCTGATTTTCATGTTTTACAGCATATCACAATTTGTTTCACTTGGTGTTATAATAATTTAAAAAAGGCAGTAGAGTAATATTTTACTAATAACTAGCTGGTTATTATGTAGGCTATTTTACCCGCGTATGATGTAACTTTATGAGTGATTTGTTTAAATTCAGAACCCTTGGAGGCTCTGGAGGTAATCTTATAATACGCACCGCATAGTAATCCTTCTTTTTTGCAAAGTTCCCTTGCCATGAGGAAAGCTTCCTCATCGGTAACTACTTCATATGTATCCACTATGGATTTATCTAAAACTATGGGTACATCCGATCCGGTAATTCCTTCAACCTAGAGAATGATATCTTGTTATAATGAATATATTTATTTTATATAAAGCTATCCTCTATCCATAATAATAATTATGAAGAGCAAATACCTACAATTTTGGGGGTTTTCTACTTCGCACTTGTCATTTTACGTCTTATAAACGACCTGACCTTATAGACGACCTCCGTAGCCGAGTGGGTCGCACGCCGGTTTCAAGGTGTCGCCATCTCTGAGGTCCCGGGTTCGATTCCCGGTCGGGTCAATGTAGAAAATGAACTTTTCTATATTGACTTGGGTCTGGGTGTTGTGGTACCTTCGTTGTCTCAGATACTCCATAATACGGGGGCTTTAGCTACTCATCTTGGAATCTGAGCAATGTATGTGATGTTGTTAAATATTTATTTATTTATATTTATTTATAAAACGAGGAATAAATTATTCAAATTTAAGCCATTGGTCGTCTAAAGCGGATTGAGAATGTCAGAAAAGGATACGTCAAATTTAGGATGTGTTGGCTTATTTTAGTCGGATATTGGTTTTAATCCTGGTGCTAAAATTAGTTATCATTTTTAATAAGACGGTTTCGTTTTAAATTTTTAATACGGATGGCCAAAAAATGATATGGCGTAATAAATAATTTCGATTTGATTTGATTTGATTTGATACTTAACCAGGAACGGATGTTGTTTTCCGTGTGTATTAAACAGAACTGAGCCGTCAGGATCGGCAGCGACCACCACACAGTTGGGGTTGTGTTCCTTGAGTTTATGAGCTACACCAGTGATAGTACCACCGGTGCCTGCGCCCATCACAGCTACGTCCACTGGGCCTAGAGCCTCATAGATCTCTTCCCCTGTATGCTCGTAGTGGGTACGAGGATTTACATCATTATCGAACTGCGAAAAGATGCAAGTAACATTTTTATTTTTAGCCATAAAAAATATATGAACAAAGAATATCTGATTCTATCATAAGACCTTATATTACAGTAATGGAAACAAAGAAGGAAGATATTTTAAAGTCGTTGAGAGTCTAAGTTGGAACCTCCAATATGAAGACACCATGAAATTATGCGTGTACATTTCAATCATTAAAAACATATAGGTATTTTAAAACAATTTTACCTGTTCCAATAGAACTATTGCATTGGGGTCTTTGTCCTTAATTTCCGTCGCAATATCTACGTCAGATACGTTATCTTTTATTTGTATCACTTCAGCGCCCAAAAGACGCATTGTATTCACTTTTTCATCCGAGTTCTTTTCAGACAAAACCAAAATGCTCTTGTTTCCTAATAACATATTTTAGTACATATTATCATACAGTTCCAGACAAAGAATGTATATTCTTTGTCTGGAACTGTTTTTATTAAATATGGAAACTAGGGTGTATCTGATTCTTTGCAATTAAGTAAAAATTTATATGAAAAAAAAATGTAGTTTTACGAAATAATTGATAAAACTACATTATAAATGATTGTGTTCTGATAGGGTAAAGATAACCCTTACCTCTGAGTGAAGCGTTGAACACAATGGCTATTCCAGTATTACCAGATGTTGGCTCTACAAAAACAGTCTGGTCATTTACAACACCATTTGCCACGGCATCCTCCATCATCGTATATCCGATACGGTCCTTAATCGAACCCGCTGGATTGAAGTACTCGCATTTCGCATCTACAAGGATATTTCTAATTAGTACCTCGTTAGAAGACTATTCGTCCTGCTTGGTGAGTGACCTCCCGACTCTGTAGCTGAACATTGAGGTTGAAGGTTTTATAACATAGAATCTTCAACTTCAAACGTTCTTATAGCTAGCCATAGCTATAAATATATATTTTTGGGATTCACGCCCCAAAGAAAGTTTAACGGGTTGAAAACGTTTATATGAAAGTTCTCGGTTTATGAAGTAATTGCTTTGAAAATTGGTACCTATTTGAGTAAAGTAGTTTAAAAATAAATCACGCTATTAATTTCCTTTGAAATTCTCATATGAAAACTCTTTAGTTATAAATGAAATAAAGTGTTTAATACGCAACGTCGCTTGTGTTAAAGTATATGGAATATTACATTTAATAAGCCTAGATTTTTGAATGAGAAACGTAGAGTTGAATTGAAATTCATACTTACATATTTCACATTCGACCCCATGATCTTTGGGTATTTTGTTAAGTCTCACGAGCGGTGTATTGCCAATCACTTCTTGTATGTTCTGATATACCCTATGGGGTCCTGTATTTCTAGGATAACTACGAGTTCAATAAAATATGATTAGTGTTCAAATTTGATTAATATCATTTTAAAACATATTGGGATTTAGTTACGTCAACATGGTTTACTGATAAGTGAGAAAATTATTCAAGACAAAATTATTACGCGTCTACTATGAAAATGCAGTTTAGCTAAAAAAAACACTAAAACTTTATACTTTAAATCAGCTCTAGGAAAAATGACCTCCATAACGCAAGTAAAAAAAATAGGTTGTCCCTAATCATTGGTGAAATGCATTTTTGTAACTGATTCCTAAATATTTAGGAGTTGTTTTTGCGATTTGAGCGACTCCAACGTTTAGTGAAAACGGGCATAAGGAGTTTAATAATGTTAAGCATTACTTTAAATAAATGAAGATGATTTTTTGTACTTCAAGGCTAGTCCTGCCCCACCGATAGTTCGAATTTCTAAGGCTATTTCGTTATCATCAGCAGATTTTGCAGAAATAACATACATTTTTTATGTTGAAATTACTTTGCCTCAACTTATTAACCATTATCTTCATACTAAATCCCTAACATCTTTCAAGCATCACAAAGCATGTTTTTTTCAAATGTCTTCGCTCCCTAATAGTTATAAGAAACTCATTTCTTTTTGCACCTAAATGCTGACAGGTTTTATGGCTTTTAACAGCACCTTCTCATAACACGCGATTAATTTGCCCCTAAAAGGTGTATCTTGGCCTTCCTGTGCATCTACTTCTTTTATTTTAGTGTGTACTATATTTTGAACATTCTTTCCACACGTTCATATCAACATCATCAACAATCATGTCGACTGTCTTTCTCTTCCCTATTCTTGCAAATACAGGAATATGCAGTCTGCGAACGTAACTTTATAAATTCTGCGTAATGAATGCAGCTTCACTTATTTTAACTTGCATTCATTCTATATTTGCTGCCTAGAATTTTTCGCAACTACGCTACGCTTTTATGCTACCCTACACACACACTTCTTTCTTTTGCTGTATACCATTCATCCATGCCTAAAGCACATCCAAAATGCTTATTCACTTACTCCAGTGCAACATCGTCAACCATGATCCTTACAATTTTGTTCTGCTATCGTCTATTTGAAATATCAAAGTATTTTTTAATAGCAAGTAAGTACTTACCAACTTTGAATTATTCATATTTATATTCTTCAAGAACATTTCTTTGCAACAACTACGGGTCATCATCACCCATTCACAATTTTTATTAAGTAATTTTTTATTTAATATATTGAGTAGATTTTATATTCTGGGTGTAACGATCACGCTAGAGGATAAACTACCTTGCGGACAGCACGCAACCATGTGTGTATTGGAAAAGCTCAAGATATCGTCAAAAATCACATGACCGTTTGAATATAAAACGAATTACATGGACTTACCTGATTTTATGTTGGTTAAGCGTTTTGAGATTTTGGACATAATTGAGCCAACTACTCATTTTTACAGATGTCACAACTCAACTCTAGCAAAACTAGACTCTTTCTAATCGAATAATAGTGTTGAGAAGAATTTTATATATACTATGTCACGTTTTCGTAAGTTATAATTTTTTTATGTACTTTCAATATTAATAAAATAAAACGGAAAGGTAATTGTGCATGATATGAATTTTATATTTTCAAAACGTAATCCTTTATGTACTGTAACAAATACCGTTTTCTCTTAAAACGAGGACTGAGTTTAGTACCAGATACAAACGACTATCCAACCAAAATAGATCATTTGACTTTTCTCTTTTGTAGTTGTGAATTTGCTTTAGGCGGCCAATGGTTTAAACCTACTACTAAAGTACTAACTTTACACCCGGTTTCTGAGTTGAGAATTTAAAGTTAAGAACGTCTCAAACTGTACTCAGACTCTACTTATATTTCTCTTGGGATCTTTTGTATTGAAAATATTCTGGAAAACTGTAAAATCGATTTGAAAAATACGCCATTACTTGTCACCTCAAAATATCACATTACGTCAAACTCACATATGATTAAAAAAAAATAAGCTTTGGCAGATTTGTATTCCCTGGTGTGCTGTAGACTGTACTCGATATATTTCTTATCTATTATAATATTTCCATCGCTAGAGTAAAGGAATGATTTTATAATGATGACTTTACTAGGGTTATCTCGATATAAGGGAACCATAAACATAATAAAACCGCAATTGTCGTATTATTTTTAATAACAATAACTACGTACATTTGAATTGTAAATGGATTGATTCTTTTCAATCTCACACAAAAGATATATTGTTGTTATTTTAATAAAACACTAACAGTGATATTAAAATATCACTAAATATTAGTCCAAATTCATATACTCCCGAAAATAAGCAAACCGAAGACCTTCTAGGAGTAAATATTACTCCCGTAGTAACTCGTACCAGGTTCACCTTTGCTAAGTCTTAGTTTAATAATATGAATTTTGATTAATACTAAGTTCAGTCTCAGCGTAAATTTAACGCCGAACCTTGTTGATTAATAACACTGTAAATTTATGTTAACATACAAAACTAATATTTACAATTGTTCTATTTAACTTATCCATTCCTGGTGACCACATGACTGACTCACGTGATGACTCCAGCTTCCACTTCTGGTTGAAAGAAATGGAGTAAGTCACTTTTACGTCACTTGTTACGACAACGCTAACCATGAAACGCTCTTTGTCATTGTCATTGAGATCAAGACCATATTTTGAAAGTTCCAAGTCAAATAAAACCCAAAAAGGTATAAAATCGTATTTTGCATGAAATTTGTGTTGAATAATAACAAACCGATATGTAGAAAAATCAGCCCAATATTAGTTTTACAAATAGATTTCAGCAAGACATTTGAAATACGGCATTATATAGTAATAAAAAGTTTTCCTAATTGGCTTGAAATTACCGATTTGTGTATTTTCAAGTGAATGACAACAAAAGAGCGGCATCATCATTAGGATTCATAAACAATTCTAAACTTTAGAAATCCAATTCATTTTCGTCGCACTTCACTTGGTTTCACTAGTCTTTGTACCTATGATATAGTGAACACAACTCTCAGTTCTATAGTTCACGGTGCTTGGGCGTAGTTCTCATAGAGCCAGTCCCAGAATCGGACCCGCTTCGCCTCCGGCCCGGAGAGCAATGTGAAGTTGCCGTCGATGTTGAGGTAGTCCATTTGCCGCGTGTTGTTGACCGGCTGCCATTTGAAGTCTATAACTGACTCGTATTCTACAGGTGGCGTTGGATTCCTATAATTAAAAATGCATATTAATCTTATCTTAAACTACTATTAAGAAGTGGGTTATACGTTGTTTGAGAGTTGGATCCGACACTGAAGAGTTTGTGTTGATTCCCTATTTGATCTTTTAACTGTAGAATACATTTAATCTTACTGTTTAAAAGTTGAAGGTTCGGCTGTTATTTTATTAATATACTTAAATAATATCAATTTTTATGGTAAGCTCTTACCCAGTTTTGGCAAAGTTAGTCCACATTTGTACCATGCGCCTAGAAACAGCGAGTTCTGTGGAATCATCATCCAGTCTATAGTTCAGTCTCGAGAAGTAAAACAGGTATCCCATCTCGTCACCGTGACAAGCACCAGGGTGGGTGATACCTAGCATCCGTTTGAAAAGCCCTAAGGCTCCATCGAAAGCGAACCGATACAAATACGTGGGACTGGTCCTGTTTGTCACTGCTTGGAGTCGTAAAGTTTCCAGTATTGGTCGCAGGAACATAACATCTGTGAATAACTGGAAAAAAATATGGTTTTTAACGAATGAAAGTAGGAAAGAAAGAAAACTACGGGTATCTTGTTTTATATGAGTATGCTGATATTATGACGTAAGTTATTCTAAAATAATGAAGGAGGCTCTATATTAAAATAAATTCACACATACAATCACGTTTTATATAATTATGCCAGATTTATAATAACACAGCTAGATTTGCAGAATACCTATTTGATTGTAGATTGAATTCGAGATGTTATTGGATTGTGTATTGTTTTTAAAGGTCGATGAAAATCTGATGGAAGATGTGTTGTATAATTGTCGGTAGGAAAATACTTAGTCTGGCCATAAATACTGTTAGAATTAAAAATAAACACAATATTACTTTTGAATTTCGAATTTCTAAATGAAACCTCTGTTTATGATAAAAAAAGATCTGAGTGTTCGTACGAAAAAGTCGATCAAAGCAGTAAAGGAAAGAACTCGAAGAAATCCTGTCCGAAAGCAAAAGATTTTATCTCGGGAGATGAAGATAGCATCTAGAACCATGTATGACAAACGCTGGTCACTACTTAACAGATAATTAAAAAAAAAAGGGTGGTGAAATCAAAACAGTTATATAAGCGGTACGCAAAGAGCTCACAGAAAAAAAAAATCCGGGTGAGAAATTTTTTACAATTGAGCAATATTTTAACAAACAAAATGACCGTATTTATTTTCAAAGCTCTAAAGAAACTTCACGTTAAGACAACAGAGTACAACGGCCTTATTTCAGTGATGGTTTGGTAGGGTGTTAGCTATGAAGGAGTGACCGAGCCGTATTTATGTGAAAAGTCCCTTAAAAACACCATGTTCAATAAACAATAATGGTCTTTCCAGTAAGACTCGGCGTCAGGTCATAAAGCTTGAACCACCCAATCTTGTAATTATAGAGTAGAGTAGCGACGAAATTGGATGACAGAGATGAATGATAGAAAGATATATAATACTATGAAGAATGAAAGTGCGAAATGAAAGTAACATTAAATAAAAGCGAGAACTGGAATAAATGAGTAACATAACGGTCTGCCACTGGGTGGTGAGCGGCTGGGAAAAAAACTTTGTTAGAAACGAATGTTCCGGATTTCATCAGAGTCAAGGACTGGCCGCCATCTAGTCCAGACCTTAATCCACTGATTGAGATTATGATTTATGATCAGTTTTAGAGAGTAAAGCTTACTCTAAACGCCATGATAATATCTTTTAGCCAAAAATAGCCTGGTAGAGATTGCTACCTTAGCAATAAGGCCGCCTTTTGCGACTAGGTTTCTAATTGTATGTATTTTTAGGTTTATATGTTACTGTGCAATAAAGTAAACATTCATAATTTGGAGTACCTAAAACAATCCATACGATTGCCAGTTAAGAATTTCGCCATGGTGATGGTAACATTGATAGCTGGCCTCAATGTGCTGTATTGCAGCCAATGAAGACCACTTCGAAAAAAAGAAATATTTTTATGCCTTTGTATTAATGTATTAAACTAACACATTGTAATAGTAATAAATGTTACGTTAAAAAAAATGATGATTATATATGTAACGATATTTATGGCAAGACTATATATAAAATGACATTTAACCTAGCACACTCGAGGTATATTTTCGTGAAACGCTGTACGCATGATCCTCACGGTTGATTTAATGTCGTACGTAGCATGAGTTTTATAGATACTTAGCCAAAACAAAAATATTTTAAACAAATGGAAAATTTCCCGCAGCTTGTACTGGATTCAACCAGTAAAGGAAAGGAAAAGAAAAGGAAAATATATCAGTAGGCAGTAGGCAGTGGGATATCATGACATATTTTTTTTCAAGGTGAACTTACATCTCGAGTAGCTCGGTGGCGTAGTGGATAAGCTCCGCGGTCCGCGATCGTAGTCGTTAAGCAACTTTCGCAAGGGTCGGTCACGGGATGGGTGACCAAAAATTTATTATCTCGAGCTACTCCGTGTTTCGGAAGGCACGTTAAGACGGTGGTCCCGGCTGCATTTGCAGTCGTTAATACCCTCCAATCCGCATTGGGCCGGCGTAGAGGGTCGTGGCCCATTCTCCTTAACCATCCATAAGGAAGGCCTGAGCCCCTGCAGTGGGGACGTAAAAGGTGATGAACTTACATCAATGAGATTGTTAATGTTGCGTGCATCAATTGGTCTGTTTTGGAAGTAAAAAGTCCTGATGGCTTCTGTGATATTCCTGGTTTGTTCCTCGTCGTCCGACAACAGTTCCGGTGGCACTACGCGTCTGAACTCGCGGTCTAACTCACTAAGTAGCTTGGGGTCACGTTGCAAGCCTGTAAAAAAAGGTTTCATATTAGAGTTGATATGTAACTTTGAGGAATTTTTTTTTGTCAGTATTAAAAATTTACAACAAGGTGTTTGATTCCGAATTTACAAATTATCGGGTTCTAAATACTTAGATACATGGTACGATAACATGCTACACGTTATCACCATTATCTATATCCTGATTTATAACTGAAGTGTTGTTATTAATTTTATGACATAAGATTATAATGACAAAATTAAATAGGTTAATCCTTACTTACTGTTATTTTAAAAGCGATTTTTTTTTTTCATTTGTTTTGGGTCGATCTGATTTTGATTCGCAGATAATAACAGAAAAAACCTAGATTAATAATGTTTTTGATAACACGGCAATGGACATTTTATTCCTTTCTCCGAGTTAAAAAGGTTTTTGTTTTCCTGTCTGTATTTGTGCAATAAAGATTATATTATTATTATTATATGCCTATAAAAATATATATATAACGAATACGTTTCTGAGATTTCTAAAATGAAACTAGATCAATAGATTCATTTTCCAGAACACCTAATGTGTGGTAAAGTAATGATAAGGTACACAGAACGGTTTAGCGATAATCTATAACAGGTCAAAATATCGTTTGGTCAAATGAGAAAGTGGCACAAATCTGATATAATCACATGTGTTAGTGTATTATGTAAATAGAATATAGCGTCTCTGTTACATTGTGCCGGTCTGTGTGTCAGTCTGTTTAAAGATGAACTTGTGTAATCGAACTTTATTACGTAATCATAAAGAAACAATTGTAAGTATCTATCGTATTTACGCTGCGCAATCGTCATCACGTCATTGATCGTGACGACACGTTGTCAAAATTAAATGAAGCTCTAAAACCATATGTTTGTTGCAGGTTTTAAATAAAGATCATTAATTCACAAATTTCAATGTTAAGATCTTATAGCCTTTACTTTTTAATTTCCATCGCACAATCGCTCTCATGTTACTATCATCTGTATGTTTTGCTTTTCAGATCCTACAAGCAGCGCTATCTGCACCCGTAACATAACAGACTCGAGATTGTCTAAACCCATCTTACCTACTGAGAAAAGCTTGGACAATTAAACATGATTTAAACCAACTCTAAGAAGAAAGTGAGTTTTGGTGTAGACAAATCGTTTCTTGAGTTTGTTTGTGTAGAAGTCAAAAAATTCGCCCTTTTGGCCTAAAACAGACTAAACTTATTGTTCTGACACATAAAGGGCGCTACTTAAAAATCGCTACCTTTCTGAATACAACAATGGAATAAAATAATTAAAAACAAACCAAAGTACTATAAACACAGTAACATTAATTGTTATACAAAAACCAGTTTTTTCGATTGTGAAAAGATTACATCCTGAAATCCATTATAAAATGACTAGCACCTACCTACACATATATTTTCTTTCAATAAACTAGAATGACGCAATAGGTATAATAAATAGCAACCGTCAACTTATTACCTGAATATATAATTAAATTACGCCATGTTACCTAAATTGGTATAGCACGGCTTGTAAGCAAATTACATATAAGTACTTATAAAATTATATTAAACAAGATCGATCTATATTTCTCAACTTGCATATTGATGGATAAATTCTTAATAAACACAATACCGAAATGTAAATAGGTTTATATCAAGACAGAAATCATGCGAAGTATTCATCTTTCTTTCATAAACATTGAGAAAAAGAAAAAGATGTACCATTTTAATTTGTCAACAGAACTTTATATAACATTTAAATTACTGAAAAAATAAAATAACTCTTTTAATTTAAACGGGACTAACTATGAAGTTATAATAAAAATCACCATATTTTTATTGTATATTTTATTTCATCATATATCAAAACTTGGGAGTTTTATTTATTACAAATTTCGCCCGTAATCATAAAGTATTTTGATATTATATTTTGATTTTAGTAATTTTAATATCATAATTTCTAATGCTTATCTTTCATCTCAGTATCCATTTAAATATATTTTTATACATTAAAGAAATATACCGATAACTAATTCAGCGGTGCCTATGCTTTGTTGAATGATGCATTTCAATATCTTTTTTATAATTATCTCTTAAATAGTAAATGGTTATCAAAAGCTAGTTAGTAATTTAGTGATTAAGTTATAGTCGTTGACAGGAAGGGCCGTTCACTGGACCGTAGTTAAGCATAGTACGTCTGCTGCCGCGCCTAACTCTCCAGTTCCGTTCACTTATGCAACATGCTGTCGCGACAGTGTGATGAAGGATTTCCGTGCATTTTATAGCTCTAAGTGAGTGGAAAACCGCTGGTTGTGTTACTCGTTAAAATTACTTAGGATTTTTGTGGCTAGGCACACAAAAAGCTCGTTATTCCGTTTTGTATAGTTACGTGTACCTATATTGCGTTTTTATCTCTTGTTTACAGATATTGTAATCGAACAAGAAAATTAACTTTCATAATTGAAACTACAGCATTACTTTAAAAATAAAATGTAATACTTTTTTGTTTCTGTTTGAATGATCCAAACAAGGGCTGAAGTTTTTTTTTATTTAATGTGAAATATTTTTATACCATATTGAAACAGCAAATTTCATCTCCATAAACTTACGGTAATATTACGCATTAAGAATCAATTTATGGTAATGATACTGTAAATCTAGAATATGCTTAATTAAGAGTACTTATTTACTGTAACTTTAGGACCTAAGATTTTTTTTTATATCAATTCCATTCATCCATCATGAAGAACGATCACAGGAACAAAGATTGCTCTTATAAAACTAGAGTGCTTACGTTATTTACGTATTAGTATAATGTTACACAAAGGGATAAAATGAGTTATAATGAGTGTTTTTAGTATACTGTAAACTGTGAGTGAGTTATACTGTACTTTGCACTTTGATTGCGAAAAACATACGTAAGAACATCTTCTTCTGTAAGTAAATACCAGTGAATTTCTGCTATATTTATGCCTCATAAACTTTTCGTAAGTTTTAAAATAAAACTTTCGTGCCTTGGTAGCAACAAATTGAAAATAATTTCTTTTTTTTTTGTTCTATCTGTAAATTATTGAGAAGGAGAACATTTAGACTTCTGTTAAATAATAGGCTAGTTGACAACTTTTTTTTTGAAACTTTTTATTTCATTAATTCAATGCCACATATATATTAGCAAATTTTTGTAATATATTTTCCCTACTTTTTTCCAAGTTTTCAAAACGTCATATTTTCCAAATTAGTGTAATAAAATTTATTTTATTAAATATTTACAACAGAAACTTGTATTTTGACTTGTAGGACACAAGCCTATTACGGTCATCCATTAAATTTGTACTGAGACAACAGACTCACCTTTTATAATCAGACGGAGTTTATCAATGATGAAAAGAGTAAGAACCTCAAGAAAGCGAATGACATGTGTAAACATGGTAGTGTTCTCTAGCTACCTCGCAAAAGATCGGAGCGTGAAAGTAGAACTTACGTCGGAAGAGGATGATGCCTTCTTGCGCATTGTAGCCGGTAAGTAGTGGAACATCGGCACCCGGCAAGCTATCCCGGGGGGCGGCAGTAAGGAATGCATCGGGGTGGTCAGGCTCTACTGCAGGCAGGAACGGCAGTGCCACTGTACTCCGTAAATCGGCACTTTTACCCGGTGCTCCTGATATGCGTGCACCTGCTTTCACTATCAGCTCGCTTGGAGTCGCGCGGAGGTAGCCTAATGTCAACAAGGAGAGCTCTTTATATTATGCACATTACCAAATAAAATTCAGAGACAAAGATTAAAGTAATTGCAATACAAATAAACTAAAAGTTGACATTCCAAATTCAAAATAGGTAAAAAAAAAGCCAGTAAAATTTTATTTTATTTTTCCAGAAAAAAGTTTGTCTCAAAACTTATGAACTCACGAGGTATAGGCATAATTGTATAACTATATAGATATCTTTTATATATCCACGAGCATACTCATTTACCAAAACAACTATTGAACGAGTTTTTGAAAGTTACAAGTACGTTACAACCTTAAAAGCTTTTTTATTTTGATTGTAATAATAAATTAATCATAATATAAAAGTTTTGTGATTTCCTTAATAACTATTAAACTTGTTTTATATCGATTTTATTAAGGCAAACTGATCATAATAGGAATAAAGAACTCGACTGAACCTTAAGCTATACAAGACTTCGTTTATCCTTATCATTATGTACAATTATTTGTTATAAACAAAAATAAATTAACTTTTATTAAATAAAATTAGAAATAATAGCTACATACATACGAAAGAAGAAGAAATCTATTACATATGAACGTTGGCTCCGTATTTATATATATACCTAACAACTCGGCGGTATTGTTGGTATCGATGCCCAACTCGCGACCCAACTCGAAGGCCCGCTCCAGAGGGTTGGTAGCGAGCGCCCAGGGGGATAGAGCGAGACCACTCTGCGCTATTGCGTTGTGGAACAAACCCTGCGAGTACAAATTTGTATAATACAAAAAACCGGTCGAAGTAAGAATTGGTACTTGTAACGTGCTTTTTCATCTGTTATGTCACATATTATTTATCTTAGTGAGCATTTTTTAAAGTAATCAATAGCATTATTGATATAATACAATACTAGTAGCAGTATAGACTAGTAACTGTAGCTACATAGCTATCCATTTAATTTGACTATTTAATTTATACTTACCTAGTTACTTACTTGAATGTTTCGTAAGTCATGATTAAATATCAGTTTTTTTTATTGTGTTATATTATTTGTCTCTATTGACCACTGCTATATAAAACATGTTTGTTTTTAAGCTTTCAACGCGTCAATGTTAAAATTCTTGACCTTTATTTCAATAGAAGGAGACCGAATGTCATCAAATAGTTGGAACTTTATATGTCAAAGAATCCACGAATTTATATTCAAAGTTATTTAAATATTTATTGTTTGGCTAGAGTTTTTCAGCAATAGATTATATATTTTTACTTTTTTTATTGTCATTCTTTTTATTATTATGGTACTCGTGTAGTACGAGGCACTACATACTCCATATGTTCACATCAGAAACAAATCAAAATAATACTTTCACTAATCCACCTTAAATTAACTTGTTCATGAAAATCTACCTACATACTACCGTTAGTCCAACACTATTAGTTGTTATTTATGGAAAATTTTACCTCAGAAGCTTTTGACAGCATATGCAGGTGTACCGAAGCCGCGCCAGCTGACTCTCCGAAAATAGTGACCCTCTTGGGATCGCCACCGAATGCTTCGATGTTGTCACGTACCCATTTCAGCGCCATCACTTGGTCCTGGGTGAGGACATAGACAATATAATTTATAAAAAGTTATATTTAATTCTTGCGACGGCAGCAAATCAAAATATTTCTTTACGTTGGTATGGTTCCCTTACAGGGTAGACAAACAGCACCGGACGCCAAAAAAAGCATGAACCTCACGCACACATTTCGCCTTTATTTTCTTCTCATACGGCTTTATAGCGTGTGAGATCAGCAGCAGGTGATCGATTTCATCGTGGAAGGTGTCTTGGCCTTTCGAGGCTTTTGTTCCTTCCACTTTTGCGTTGAACAAATGTTTGTTCATTTTTACACCGACGCTATCTTTCAGATCCACTCTCTTTCTTATCACAGATATTATAAAACATTTTTATTAATTTTACTAATAGTTGACTATACTACCTATATTAGATATTATATAAACATTTCGTACAAAATAAAACACTAGCCAAATAAAATGAAAATGCCGACCACTTAGTATAAGTACCAGTCGTAAAAACAACAACTGGATCGCGTCAATGAACTAGAAACTTGGCAAATACAAACGACTGTTTGACCTCACAATGTAAATAAAACAAAAATGTAAAAGTTGCATAATAAACAGGGGACGCCGGGTATTATGCAAACAAAATATGGAGTATTGGCAACTGTAAGTGAAACTGTGGAGATTTGGAAAGTTTTAGCTTAATTGTATAGAGGTGTAACTGTCTACTTACCTATTGTAACAGATTTTGCGTCGGAAATACTCTGCAGTCCATTAAATGTTGCATTTCTTATTCGTATTGAACAAAACGAATGTTTAGACAGGGCTTTCTTTCAAATATATAGAACGTTTCGACATTCATATCTTAAATCATAGCATAGGTGACTCGTGTGAGATTTTCAGAAACAACTGCAATAATCAATTTCTTAACCAAATAACGTCTAATAAAATATTTTGTCACCAGTAGATCTTTGAACGACATCACATGAAGTCTAAAACTACAACGGTTCAATCGAGGATCTGAATATTTGAAATGCAGAAATTATCCTCAAAAACAAAAAAAAATATATACGTTATGTTCTTACTTTGAGACCCATATTCCCTGGTACTTCGTCACTTTCAAGACTGAGGAAGCCAAGTGCGCCGAGCCTATAGTTGAGCGTGACTAGTACCACTCCAGCACCCACCAGGTGATCTGGTCCGTATAGGAACGCATTGCCGGACCCCACAGCGAAGGCACCACCGTGGATCCACACCATGACAGCCAATTTTGGGTTGTACCTGTTTTTAAGTATCGATGCAAATAATACATACTCGTAATATAAATTTGCTTGTATGCTTTAGAGGTTAAACAAATCATTAAACACCACAAGGTCTCTCTCGAGTATCAACGTCATACTTTAAAAAGTATCACCAAATAAATATTTCATTTATTATGATGTCATCTTCACATAATATGGTAGTAAAGGGCCTCCGTAGCCGAGTGGTTCGCACGCCGGTTTCAAGGTGTCGCCATCTCTGAGGTCCCGGGTTCGATTCCCCGTGGGGTTAATGTAGAAAATGAACTTTTCTATATTGTCTCGGGTCTGGGTGTTGTGTGATCTTCGTTGTCTCAGATACTCCATAATACGGGGGCTTTAGCTACTCATCTTGGAATCCGAGCAATGTATGTGATGTTGTTAAATATTTATTTTATTTATTTATTGTTAATTTACACTCACGATACAGGTTATAAATCATATAATTAATTTATAGTAGTTTCAAGATGTCCGTTTAGATTGAGGAGCCACTTCAGATTTTAAAATAAAATTTACCTCTTTATGTAATAGGGAGTCAAATAATTTTGTAGGATTAATTTTGAAATTTTTAATAAAATATATACATTGTTATATGAATTTAAAGGTGGCTCCTCAATCTAAACATCAGAATTGAGGAGCCTTATTATTAATTTCCATTACGAAAAATATTTTGTAGTAAATGTGTTCAAATTTGTAGCAGAGTAGAAAAAATAGTAATTGTTTTTAGGAAAAAAACTCATTTTAACTGACTACTCAACCCTGACGTTTTGCATAATAAATACTTGACTGTACCTACCTATCCGAGATCACAAAGTAAACAAAAACTAAAGACGTTAACATTAAGTATAAATGTCTACTCAATAAATACGTACTCTAAGGGAGAAATTTAAGGAAATAGATATAATGACTGTTGCTTCTCAATACATATACGAGAACGTAATGTACGTTCGTAAAAATATTAGTTTGTTTTCTGTAAAAAGTGATGTACACAATTTTGATACAAGAAATAAAAATAAATTAACGGTGCCAGTCACTAGACTGCAAAAAGTTAATAACTCATTCAGGGGTCTTTGTGTGCGCTTCTACAATAAGGTCCCAAGCAAAATACAACAATTAGATATCATGCAGTTTAAATCTACTACTTAAAAATACTCATTAAAAAAACTTATTATAAGGTATCCAATTTTATAACAGATAAGAATTAAGATGGTCCGGCAACTGGATAGGTGATTTCTTCTAAACTCATTATACTCGTATCTCAAAAATTATCTTATTTCCATTATTATTAAATTATTATATTATCATTATAAAACCATAGATTTTTTTATAATCTATTAATCTCGTAATGACATGATTTTTGTGAATGTCATTACTCCTATTAGAGCTAGTGACTTTCTTGCTCGTTCTTCTTATCAGCCAACAGACGTCCTGGGGGCCAATTCTACTGAATAAACTTTGTTTAAATCGAATCGAAAACGGATCGAAACCGAACGAAACTACAGTTTTTAATGGTTTTCCTATTCTACAAAGTGACATACGATACAATTCCAGTTCTATTTTAGCTGGAATTGTATCGTATGTCACTTACTTTCGTATGTCACAATAGAAAAACCATTAAAGTAGAGAAAAAACTGTTGAACGATTCAAAACTATTTTTAAAAAGTCTATTTGAATAAAGATTATTTGACTTTGACTTTGTAAAAGGCAACATTGCACGAATCCGGTATTAGTAAAACAAATAACTTTTCGATATTCCTTGAGAAATTGCTATTAAGCGTGACCATGATATGAAAGATAACAGGTTGACTAGTTTTATCGTTTTTTATTAATCTATATATCTTTTAAAAAGAAAACACTAAATGGCATACTTCCATATAGTGTCGTTCGATTTAGTAGTCAACATAAGTAAAAGATTTAATTAATATTGGTTGATCGGTGCTTATTCGAATTTTATATTGAAAATGATAATTATCGAAACAAAGCATCTCATGCTTCGTTGGATAGTGACATTCATAGGGGCCCATACCTGCGTCGCTATTTGAATTTATTCAATAGCGCCTATTAAAGTATGTGTTCTACTTGTAATTATTATTGATTGTCGTACCTTGTTAACTCAAAACTTCAACAACATTTAGTTCAAAGGAAACTATTTGTTCACACTGTTTCAAGGTTAAAAAATGTACACACGTTTTTATCGGCTACAATACAGATAGCATTTTCCAAACTTTGAATTCCGAATACAAAAAATATATTCAGGTTTAAAGAAAAAATGCGACTTGCCTAGAAGTTGGGGTAAAATTGGCATGAATGGTTAGTAAACTTTTTAGTAATTATTGAATTAAAATAATACTTCAAAATTTTACTTATGTTCAAAAATGAAAGCCACATCACAAGCAAATTCAATGAAAATATTATATGTACTTACAAAAATGTATACTAAATCTCACAAAACATACTCATCTCTATGGTCGCATATATTTGTGAAATCTTCCTACCTTTTTGATTCGATACCTACCTTTCTATAGATGCAGCTACGACTATGTTGTTCTAAGCATTTGCTAAGTATGATTTTATAATAAAGTGGTTGGTTGGATATAGAACTGCGTCGTGGGACTTGTCCATTTTTGCACATGCAATATCTTTGATACGATTTTCTTAGTAAAATTTCTTGAAAAATTAATAGATAGCTAATAACTTTATAAATATATACAGGGTTAATACGTTCAATTAGTATAAATTTATACAAAATTTGCAGCAGATATAATTGTTGTAATTTTTGTCGCAATACACGATTGCCACTAAATGATACAATATTTTACATTTCATGTTCTATGTGGCTCCTCAATTTAGATGTTTAGATTCACATGACTCTGGGTATATTTTACTACGAATTACCGAATTTAACCTACAAAATTATTACTAAATAAATAGATAAATTTCATTTTAAAATTTGAAGTGGCTCCTCATTTCAAATGGACATGTTTTGAGATCATACTGATAAAGGTGATCTATGTATGTTATGACTTGTACTACTGATAGTGTACCTACTTAATTTTTGCGTCATTATATTAGAACTACAAGAATCTTACCCAGAGAGTTTGTCAGGCAGCGCGGGTGAATAAACGTTCAAGAACAGGCAGTCCTCGTCTCCTTTATATGTGTCGAAGAGCATAAACCTATGAGGACAGACAGCACCTTCCTCCAAGGCATCCCGCACACCCGACCACGGCTCCAATGGTACAGGCGCCCGAAACCGTAAAGATCCACGTGGCGGCTGCGCATATCTATAAGGTGTAGTTATATAAATAAATTGCTGAATATGATGGCCAAAAGTTACTCGCAGATTTAAAACGGTAGATGCTTTTTCAAGTAAGCTTATTGGTGAACGTCTTTGAATCATGCGTGTTACATTTTTTAATTAACATTTGAATGTCTGAGTCATACAGAACATCTTGTACCTGACGAGAAATGAACATTTACCTATGAGAGTGTTGTAAGAACAAAATGCTTATTATTATATTTGATCAATTCTGCATTCCCGATGCTATACAGAAAAATATTCTTAATGGAAAATATTGAAAAATTCACTTCATCCCTAGCACTCTGAAATGGGATTCGAACCCATGATCTTTAGCAATCAGGGAGACTGCTCTAAACACTGAGCTACCCAGTAACTAACAGGACTGACGAATTAGTCAAGTACTTATTTCTCGTACTATATCGGTAAATGTAAATTTGCTAATTTATTTGAAAAATAAATCGATGCTCTTGAAGATACAAAAAGCTATAAAAATTCTGAGGTGAGGTTATCCACTGATATGCAGCTGTCGCCTATGCCAAACTCACTAATGTTTTTAGGGAACTATCATTAACGCTTCAGTAAGTTGATCTGCGATTATCATTTTATTAAACGTTTTAGAGACTAGAGAGTTCATGTAAATTGTGGTAATTGTGTATCAAACACGGGTAGGTAGATTAAGCAGATTTCATCACTATTTAACATGAAATCTATATCATTTGTGGTTGAGTTGGGGGTTAGAGTTTCGTCAATGTGGTGGTGACCAGATACTAAAGTAGTAGTTAGTATCTGATTTGCGTAATAGAACCTTAGTTAGATCTGCTCATTACTTTCGAGTTCCACTAACTTTATTAGCAACAGTTACAAATTGTTTACTCTACGGAACAATTTTTGACGAAACTATGGCATAAGGTAACTATCGTGTAATTCCTCTTACTTTTGTCCTCGAAATATTTCATTTATTTATCAAGGTCCTTTATTGATTTACAGTAAGCGAACAGACGAACGATTTCTCCTGAGAATAGAACAATACGATATAACGATAAATAATTCTATAAAATATTACGTTACGTTACTCGAAAAACACGCAGATTTCTATCAAGACTAGACAGAAAATCTTACAGTTCAACCGTTTTTATCAAGTTTTAATACAAATTATTATCTAATATGTACAAGCAAGTATTTTCAGAAGAACAATAAATATCTGGTTCTCTTAGGTGACGCACCTGATGCCCTTAAAGCTATAATAAGAGGACTGTTCAACAGTCCTGGTGGCGAGCTTGCGGCCGCGCAGAGCACCGAGTTGAGTGAACACTATAGGCCCTCCGCCAACCCGCATGCGGTCCACCAGCGCGTGCACTAACCGCGCCGCGCGCGCCGGCACCGCCTGTAATCTGCGTAACGCGGCTTTCAGGCCAACACTCTCACTCACTGTACTTGATAATCGCCGCCACGCGCCTGTGATCTGTTGAACAAAGAGATTACTTTAAAAACTCTACATTTCAATAACGACAACATTCGAATAGTCTGGTTTTATTAAAAAATATTTCGTGGTATGGGTATTGTTGGGTTTGAATTCGATATCAATTTTTATTCTTTTAAAAACTATCAATAAAAACACTGTGCGAACTCTATGAAATGTAGTTTATGTCAGATACATTTAAAATACAGTACTAATATCGATGATCGCTTATGTACGAAGTCAACGCAATTAGGCGCATCCAAGCGACGAAGGCTACATTATTTCCTACTGTATTTGATTTCGATAATTCGGCGAATTGATAGCTTTTTGACTTGACTCTGTGTATTTAACTTTATATAAAAATAAACTTTAAAGTTCAGAACTTTTTTTACGATGATGTAAAACTTCACACATATGGTTAGTAAGGGAAAAACCTGATTAAGTGGAAAATAATATGTGTTACAATAAACGTAAAATATAGAAACACAGATCCCAAAGTTTAACAATGATAACATTAATAGTATTTTTTTTTTCGACAATTACCTTCTTTTATATCAGATCGCATCGGTTACCATCTTTTTTACAAAAGCAAGATTTTTTACTTATATTCATCAGCTTGTTTTATTATACATCGTATTAAAGTACCTAATTAGTCAGTGTATAATATACTCATAAAACACAAATCTTTACAGCTTATTGGTTTATATTCAGTGGCGGAAAACTTTATAACTTATTGGGTTATATACATTTTCAAATTAATAATGTTATTATGATTTTGGCGAATGACTTCAGCCATTCGGATCTGGGGCCCGCAGCAGGCCGCCCCCTTCCCCGCCTCCTCAATCCGCCACTGGTTATACATATAGTGGAAAAATAAAAGGTTTATTCTAATTAGATTATGTAATTTTTAATATTATATCACTAATATCTATTTGAACCATTAACTGAAAAGGCATTTATTGGCTCCCTCGATCAAGTTCTGACAGTTTGGGAAAGATGACTTGGAAACGAAAATTGATATTTTTTTGGTGATATTGTACTCATATGTACAATTATATGTAAACACAGTAATCGTGTTCAAGTAGATTGAATGAATCATAATACACTGGAGTTGACGACAGATCCAACAAATTGACTCCAACACAACGTATGACAGTAATCATGTGCCGATAATTGCTTGAGAATATTATACTTATCGTACCTACGGGTTACCTAAGTGAATATTTTTAAGCAATTTTTGGCACTCTTCCACTCACAATAATAAACGATTATTACAATTAAATAATTACACGCACCAAAGTTACACACGCACTTTTTAAAATTACGCACTCCCAAATGTTTTGTATAGTTTAAGACGTACAAGATGTTAACCATAATTTTGAAAATTATAGTACACACATAATAATATTTTGAAGCCTTCAGAAAGCGGACCATAGTTTTCAGAAAGGACACCATCAAAAAATGTTGGGATAGCAATATTCATTCAAAGTAAATAAAAAGAGATACTCTCTCTAGCGTTAGTAAATTATACTTGTATATAAAAAGTACTACTTATCAATTGTCTCTACGTGCAAACTGCCAAGTGTAAGAAATGAATTTTGCTAATAAATTAACAGTAGTAACTGAGTCTAGGAATATGAAAATTGATAAATTTTATCGGTACAATACCTACTGTAAATTAGGTTTAAGAAACAGTTCATGAAAATTACAAAGGGTTTCAACCCCTTATAGAAGTTTGTATGGAATATTAAAAGTTTTTAAAGATAGAAACAACGAATTCGAACATTCGAATTTTATGCTGGTCATTTATTTCGTATTTAGTCGTTCGAGCACCGTGCGATGCGATGCTTCATATTTGTATACTCAACCGATAACAAAACTTCTCAGACTTTATATTGTGTCTATCACCGGGTCTATAACACTCTTGATACCTAATTCGTCATTTGCAATGACTTTAAACAAACAGCGGAACATTGTTACCAGCCAGTCATTAGTTATTTTGACCGTGATGCTACGGTATACGCTCTTGGGACACGCATTCATTGTTATAACAAACTTGACCTAATTATGGGATAAGTATAATTTGTATACCTAAAAGGTTCGTTTCGCAATTTTAATCATTAAAAATATGTGCATCAACACTTGACCTTAGATCATACTGTGTTATTTTAATATCACTGCATGTATTACAAAACAGTTACACCATCAAAGGTTAAATATTGGTTAATAGCTGATTCGCAACATTTTGTTGTCTTGCTCGACGGAAACTTCTGACAAGGCGTTCATCGCATCATAAACTAGCTTTCCGCCTGCGGTTTCGCCCGCATGGTTTACACGATAACGGCATTTGTCCCTAAGGAATGTTTCGTGGGATAAATAGAAGCCGACTAAGAAATATCCGTATACCACATAAAAAAATCTTTTCAGTTGATTTTGCATGAAAAACTACTTATACATACAACAACCCGTCAAAACTATAGTAGGATTAACACAAATTTGTTTAAGATTAGGAAAGTATTAAAAAGTTAAAGTACATCTGCTTTACTTGTCTATATATTTTACTTATTACCTTCTTTCTTTAAATTTGTAGCAAAGCAACAGGCTAAGTTTTTTTATATACCTTTCGATAATTTGTCTGTTGTGCTCAAGAAACTTGACTAGAAAGAAATATCACACCCTCTGTTTATGTTAAGGTTATATAAGGCTTCCTTCAGACGAGGTTCACGAAATAAATTTACAATTTTATAACTAGCTACGAAAGATTTCCGGCAATCAAGTGTTTCTATTGGTATCGAAAGGTAGAAGCGGAACCCGCAAGTTTATTTACTACACACGTATATTAATGGTTAATTAATATTAAGACATTTGACATTTATATTTAAATATGAAATAACAGACAGGCTGTTTGTTTATGCACTACAATGTTTAATTGACTCGCCTCATGTGGATCGGTTTCATGTTTAGTATGAAATTGACTAGGGTAGGAACATGGTAGTGACATCGCCTTGCCTTGAGGATTCCGCGACGTGCTTTATTATATCGTAGGTTTTTCGTGACAGTGAAGGATGTGCCTCATTCAAGATGACGCCATCTTTGAGGACCCGGACACGATTCCCGATTTCGTCAATATAGAAAATAAACATTTCTGCATTGTCTCGAGTCTGGGTGTTGTGTTAACTTCGATATTTCAAATTTCTATAACACAAGTGTTTTAGCTAATTAAATGGTTCAGAGCAATGTAAATGATACTAATAGGTGTTGTTTATCATTATAGTATTTATATCGAATTTTTACTCGAGCAGTCTTAGCCCCGTTTAAACGTAGAAGTTTTTAAAGTACTTACTTTCAATCATATTCCCATACGGTTTCTTCAATAAACTAAACAAAACCAGCGACTTCACCCGCGTTGTCTTGTATTATACATAAAAACCTTTTTTTTTATGGGATAGGCGGCAGACGAGCAGACGGATCACCTGATGGTAAGTAATTACCGTCGCCCATGGACATCTGCAACACCAGAGGGGCTACAAGCGCGCTGCCGGCCTTTGAGGAACGAATATGATCATAGGGAGGGAAGGGTTGAAGGGTAGAGGGAAGGGAATAGGGAGGGGTTGGGCCTCCGGTACCCTCACTCACACGACGAAACACAACGCAAGCGTTGCTTCACGTCGGTTTTCTGTGAGGTCGTGGTATCACTCCGGTCGAGCCGGCCCATTTATGCCGAAGCGTGGCTCTCACACCTTCCTTGTGAATCACTCTATCTATGAAAATATACCGCAACAAAATCCGTAGCATAGTTTTGAAGATTTAAGCATACATAGGGATACAGGGACAGACAAAGCGACTTTGTTTTATACTATGTAGTGAAGATTAACAGCAATGTATGTTATCGACCGGGCAGTCAATTGTCCTTCGTCTGAACGCAGCCTAAAGAATAACATATGTATGTGAATGTAAAATTACTTCTGAATAATTAAGGGCTAGTAAAATTTTAATGCTATAATGTTATATAAAAATGTAATTATCATTTATAATTTCATTGCTTACATCGATATCGACATTCCTACATTGTTATTAAAATTATCTTCATTAATATCTAGCCAATCAATAAACAGCAGCATAATGCGGCCTGGTTTCGCAATCCATTCTCCATTCCGGGGAGCGGACATCGTGAGTCTTTGTATAATAAATCGATTAACCATCACTATAAAACGTGGACCAAGTCACACTGGACTCTTGTGAAAGCTTGCCATTATGCTATAGAAGGAACCATCATTAATCCTGACCAGAGGCGTAGCTACTGCCGTATATGCCGTATCAATTATACGGGGCCCCGGGCCATTTGGGCCCCCAACGTAAGCAAGAATTAATAAAAACTTCCCAAATTTCTTTTTAATTCAGAAATGGCAAAAGTAAAAAAGCAATTTCTTTGTCCTGCGTAAAGCGTGCGTTTTAAATTTGGCAACACCTTACAACGGTTCTCGCGGGCTGCGGGATATCTCGTTTAAGTCGTAACGGGGATCCCTTAATAATCGATGTATATACGATTCAATTTCGCACCGTTTATACAAAAAAAAATTTTCTTATGTGAAAAATTTTTACCCTACGTAAATGCCCCCAAACAAATTTTATACGGGGCCCCGCCAAGGCACGCTGCGTCACTGACGCTGCCTGACAGATACCATATTCCGAAACATAATATGTATTACTCACAAGTGTATGTAAAATAGTTTATGAGTAATATACATATTAAGTATACATCTGAAACAATGCATTTAACACACGCATCCGGACAAATCAAAATATAGGAAAGTTAATTTTCTATATATCACAAAAATATATCGTTAAAGTAAAAAGAAATATACGTCACAATATAAAAAAAAAACATGTATTCCTTCATAATCAAAATAAAAGCAAAAGCCACAATTGTGTCAAAAACTTTACGATACTCTTGTAACATGAAATCACATCATCAGCGGTTAACTTTAAATACGAACTCGCCAGCAATAACGACTAACTCATTCTTCAGAACGATACCGGATTCTTAACTCGCTCCTTATGAAACTGGGTTTTGGACAATACGAAATGCAGTTGCTTCATCGTAAGTGTGACGAGTCCGACAATACACTGGAGTTTTGTGCCGAATTCTAATTGTACAACTTTAGTGGTAGATTAAGAAAGAGTCACGTTTTATGCGACTATTATTTTTTAAAGATAGTGCACAGTATCAATTAATGGGGCCGTTATTTACATATTGTAAGACGGCAATGTCGATAGTCCTCTTGAAATAATAATTAAAAGATGCAATTCTCAATTTGAAACTACATTCACTTTAGGAGATTTTTTTTCACAATAGAAATATTTTAAACTAAAAATTCTAATTTTTAATTTGGATATAATTGATTGGTTCAATGAGCAATTAATACAGCTTAAACGCTAAGGAACCAGCTTAGAACGGTGGGAAAAGTACCTATAGTAAATTACTTAATATGTACTTCAATATAAGTAGGTATAGAAAAATAAAGTAATATATTATGGTTGAGAAAAAATCCGATTATTTTCAATATAATTAACTTTTGCAGTGTGTCCCGCTATCATCAAATCTACATTGCACCATATATTATATAGATCATTGCTTATAACTGCTAAAGTCTGTCAATAATAGCCGAATTGAATGGATTTAGTAAGTAAGATGGCTTCGATCTTCGTGGAAGAATATTTATATATAGATAGCATCGATTCTACTTCCAATATCAGGAAATTGCTTTCTTGTGGCGATTTTATATGGATTCAGACTTAATTGTTTTTAACGGATTGATGAATCGTAGGTACCTTAATATATGAAAAGATGAATCAAATTGTAAGAACCATCGATATAAAATGGTGTAGGTACGTAATGCTGTGGTGTAGGTATTGTGCATAAAATCGTATTACACGTGATCGTAATATGTTATATTTAGCCATCATTCTGACCCTAGATAATTTAGAAAATAAGATACTCTTATAGTCGCCTTTGATATCATATCATAGTCGCTAAAAACAAATCTAGGGCGTCAACATATTATAACCACAACGAAAACTTCTCAGTAACGTACTTTCCGCGTACTTTCCAATTGCATATATAATTTCATAAAGTTAGTAAACTAAGACAAGTACGTTTCTGTTGTTTAGAAAAGAAATTTCGATAAGATAGAAAGTGGGCGACATGGAAATCATGATGTCATTTTTCTCGAAAATCCGCTATTACATAAGATATGAAGCGTATCATACTGTGCGTCAGAATGAACTAGCCATTGCTCAATATGTAGATGATATAGCTGTTTAGGATGTCTTGGATGAGGAACCGGCTACTGTTCTCAATGGTGCAACCAAAACTGTGGCAGACGTGATCTGCTTTATTTCCTCCATGTTGGAAAGCGACAACAAAATTTCATCGTAAAAATAAATATGCCGTGTGTGTAAACTTATTACGTGAGACTACTGCTCACCAGAAAAGATGTAATTAAAGATCTTTAGATTCGTGTCACATTTTGAAATAATCAAATCGAATCTCACGACTATTGTTGAAATCAGTTAGATATCAAGGTTTTGCATTATTCATTTTTTTATCTATTTTATGTTGAAATCAAATCTTTTGCGGGTTAGCTACGAAGAGCTGGAGGATATAAACGACTTCAAATGGGTTCAATGCCTTTTGAAACACGAAGTAGGACGAGATAATATTTTTTGTTCATCCATCCCGTGACCGACCCTTACGAAAGTTGCTTAGTAATGATCGTAAACTGTAAATTTTCAATTTTAGCAAATTGTTAGTAAGTGCCCGTGATATTAAAATTAAATTATCTTAACTTTTAAATTCGAAGACACCACACTACAAAAAAATCTTTATTAACCCAATTTGAAATACAGATGGAAAGAAAAACACAATTCTGAAGTTTACACAAAACCTAATCTATAAAAGATATCTACGCAAAATTCTTTGAACCAAGCGATAGCACAGTTTGAGTACACTTTACGCCATCTAATATAGCAAAGCTTATTCTTCTTATTTAATTTAATTTAAAAACTCAACCTTGACCAAACAGCACGATGTAGAATATACGTAACGCCATCTAGTATAGCTCAAATTAAATAAACTGAATTTTACTTTTTGCTTAAATCAGCTAATTGCTAATTCATCAGGAATATCGAAAGTTATTGATAGAAGTAGAAGTAAAACAAAAAAAAAATTGTTAAAAACTTTTGCCGACCTAATAAAATATGAGTTTTGTTTATAATTTCTACCACTGCGTGCAATGGTAAACGTTGATTGTAGTCTTGTTGACCTATTGGAGACTCGTAATTGAAGTTTAAAAAGAAGGTACGGGGAATCTATTTTTGATTGGGCAATTTTGCCCAAGAGAACTATATTTGAAGTTGTCCTTCTTGTTTGTAATGGCAATATGTGGTGTCTTTTACATTTTGTCTCATAGTTGACGTCAAACACTTTGCATTTGTACTTTATATTAGTTATCATGTAAGGAATATATTTAAAAAATACCTAATGCTTTATATAATCAAATGATTCTCGTGCCAAGATAAAACAAAATAACATTTTGATTTTTGTATTATAAGAAATTTTAAAATACATTAAAAATCGAAATGGTACTCCTTCATACTCTGTTTAGACCTAGAACTGACAATTTGCACTACAAAACAAAAATGTATACTATTTTCGTTATTTTATTTATATTATTTTTAAATAGTGTCTAGTACATACCAGCTTGGTTCTCGAAACAGTTCCTTTTTTGCAATTTTTTCTCTAAGATAAAGTTTGAGTTTATTACCTTCATGGAGTTGAGACTTGTGGCTGCATTAGCAACGACGTCGCCCAGTGTTGCCGGTGGCAGCGCATCACTTCGCAAGACAAGTGTGCACGCGCACAAAACTACTACTCGCCACCAACGGACACGCATCTTGTCCTCACTCAAATAATACTTCAACACACAGTGTTCCGTCACATTTAAATTTAAGTCTTTATCGACAACAATCGTTAGCTGTATTGATTAAGATGTCAAAGTGACTAAGAGCTCCCCGATTTTTAAAGCTGGTTGTCTTATTCAGTCGACGATGTTTGTTTTTTACCTGGAAAGAATAACATAAAAATTGTTTATATGCAATTTAGACATTATAGTAAACATATAGAGAAAAATCGACAGGACCTACAAATCTTTAATCTAATGTCCTTTATATTGATAAAGACGTTGATAGAGTTCTACTCAAACCCCAAATTAAGTAGTTTTAAGCACAAATATTATGAAAATCCGAAACAACTAAACTACCACAACATCCAGACCGAAGGCGATATATTTTATTTATTTATTAGGTAACACAACAGACATTAATCAAAATATATATAAAAATAAGTAACTGTGTAGTACTAAATTAATATCCTAAAGGTGTTTACACAATGAGATATGATAAAGAAAAAAAGAAACTATTATTATTATTTTTTACTAATATGAAAGAAAACAGAAAGAATGAGTATAAATCAATCTGGATGATTAAAAAGATGCGACATTTAGGTCTACCACAACTTCCCTAATACATTTTTTGAATTTAAAGAGATTGGCATTAAATATGTCTAATGCCTGATTAACTGGGAGGATCTCATTATAATTTCTACACATACGAGCGATGGGATTATAATAAGATATGTTATTTCTATATGTGGGTATGACAAAAGTTGGATGCCTGCGCCTTGGATTATATTTGAAATTAATGTTAATAGATGAAAGAAGATATTCTGAGTCAATTACGGAATGAACTAATTTATGAAGTGTTATTAAATCATGTTGATAACGACGTGTGTTAAGAGATGTAATATTGAATTTACTCAATCTGTCCTCATATGACATCAAACTACGGCTGGTACCGAACTTTATACTCAATAGTTTTGTGAATTTCCTTTGGATTCTCTCAATTGCCATAGAGTGATTATTGTAGAAAGGATTCCAAATCGTCGAGCAGTATTCGATTTTACTTCTGACTAGGGAATAGTATAATAGAATTAAGCTTTTTGCCTTATAAAAGTCTTTAGTAATTCTATAGATAAAACCTAATGTTCGCATTGCACTGGTAGATAAGCAATCATAATGGGCCCTGAATGTAAGTTTGTCATCAAAAATTACCCCAAGATCCCTAACCGCTTCGCTGCGTCTAAGGACTGTAGCTTCTAGTTGATAATCGTAGATATATTTGTTACGCTTGTTTGTGAAAGATATGAGAGTGCAATTGTTGATATTTAAAAACATACTATTTAGAGCACACCATTGTGATATTTTGTCAATATCTTTCTGTAGTTTTATACAGTCATCAATAGAACTAATCTGTTGAAAAACCTTGAGGTCATCAGCGTACAGTAAGCCCGGGCAAGATAGTTTTTCAGCGAGATCATTAATAAAGATCAGGAAGAATAATGGGCCAAGATGGGAGCCCTGGGGAACGCCAGACTTAATCTCTACAAAATCCGACAAAAAACCTTTGATGGCGACCAGTTGGTGTCTGTTAGAGAGATACGATTGAATCCAGCGGAAGAGTGACCCATGAATACCAAATTCACAAATTTTTCGGCAAAGTAAATAGTGATTAACCTTTTTTTTTTTGACGCTGAGAAATGCGTTACGCATACCCGCTTCACCCTACGCGGGCTCCACGGGTGATGTGGGACTCCTCCTGTGGCCCCAACCCCATAGGGACTAGACAAGAAACAAAAGTTTACCCATTAAAACTCAGCGATGTCCCTCTCATGGAAGGCGATGCGCGGGATCGGCCCGAAAGCCATACACCGCGCGGTTCGCCCCCATTTCGGCCCGCCCTGAAAAGGGCAGGTCCCGCTCGGGTTGGGGGTACGCCTCAGAGACATTCGAGACGCACCCCCACGACGAGGCAGGAGCGTGCAATGCCGACCGGTGCGCGAACCGGCCAGCTGCCCCCGACTAGAGACCAGAGATGCGCGACTGTGCAATCTCCGGTCCCCTACCCATCGTGTTCGGAGGATCCACACAGACATAGCCCTTATCGTGGATATAGTGATTAACCTTGTCGAATGCCTTTTTAAAATCTGTGTATGCAGCACTGTTAAATGCTAGAAACAAACAATGACTGTACTCAAGAAGGTTACTAACCGTGGATCTACCTTTTGTAAAGCCATGCTGTTTAGGCGATAAATAGGGTTTGATGTGGTGGTATACAAAGTCATAGATGATTGACTCAAATATCTTCGCTGGACATGACAAGATACTTATCGGTCTATAGTTTGTTAATAATTGAATAATTGAAAATGAGAGCCAAAGGCAGGCTGAGCTGCTTAGCACATACCTTGAAGATTATAGCAGGAAGTTTATCAGGGCCAGCCCCCTTATTTAAATCCAACTTTTTCAACTTTTTCAGTACGTCGGCAGAAGTCACTTGTAACTTTGTCAATGACAATGAGCCAGAGAGAAGCAACACGTCATCACAGTTAGAGGGTGTTACCGGCAAAGGGTTCACGAAAACTGAGGCAAAGTATCTAGAAAAAAAATTTCGCATACACCTTTGCCATCAGACGAGGACACCCCATCAAGTGTCATTGTCTGAGGAATGTCTTTACTGTTTCCTTTTTTAGAACGCACAAGGTTCCAAAACGATTTAATATTTACCTCCAATGCATCCGCAACTGACAATACATATTTTTTATAACAAGCATTTAATAAACATTTCGCACGATGCCGTAATAACGAAAATGTGTCATAATCCCTAGGATTATTATACATCTTGAAACGTTTGTGGTATTTATTTTTTTCAATCATACATCTCTCAAGTCTCGGTGAAAACCACGTTGGGAAATTGTTTTTATTGTTTTTACTCAGCGGAGTATGTTGCTTTATGGTATCGTCTAAAATCCGATAAAAAACATCGACAGCATCATCGACATTCTCTAAATCTAGTAATGAGGTCCAGTCAGTACTGTCGAGGTCAGATTGAACACGTTGAAAGTTGCACTTAAAGAAATTGTAGCGTGGGTTTACGTTACTTTTGATAGAATTTCCGTATTTTCCAAGCTTCAAATGAATCTCGATAGAAGGGTGATGACGATCTTCCTTAGATAATGGGTTTGCTTTGGAGACATTTATTTGGTTAGCCGTAAGGAAAACCAAGTCCAAGAGACGATGGTTTGCATTGTGTATATTATTAAACTGAGAAAGACCGCATAGTGTGAGTGTTTCATGTAGCATTTTGGATTTAGGGTCAGTAGGAAGGCTAGGGGCAAGGCAGGCACCGTTACTTGACCAAGACAAATTAGGAACATTAAAATCTCCAATAATTAATGGAATGCCGTTATTAAAATGAAGTATAGTCGACTGCATTTTATCATAAAATTTGACCAGCAGGTCGGATTGTATATCGGGAGGCAGATAACATACACATAAATGTACTAAGAAAGAAGGTTTAGCATTTGAGACGGAGACCCATATGTCCTCAGCTTCACTTAATTGACGAACGACATTAAAAGATTTTTTGATAGCTATAAGCACCCCGCCGCCTTCAGATTTATGTATTAATGAACAATGACGGTCACGTCTAAAAATATTATAGCGTTCATCAAACAATTCACCGCTGTATACGCTTTCATTCAGGTTGGATTCAGTGAAACAAATAATATCATAATTGTGATTTAACACATTCAAATACACATCTTTCGTTTTCGTTCTTAGTCCATTAACATTTTGGTAAAATACACTTAGATTACGTTCCATAATAAAGAATTAAGATATGGTTAAAATATACGATTAACAAAGTTAGAAAATTACATTTAAATTAGACAATACTTTTAGTTTAACCGGATAGGACCGGGAATCGAACCCGGGACCTGATAGATGGCGACACTTTGAATCCGGCGGCATGGACGACCAAGCCGGCGGAGTGCAGTCACTTGGCTATGAAGGTCGTCAAAATTATCTCGAGAGTCTAGCGCAACTTTAAGACTTATAATTCGTCTGTATCTACTCTAAGTTGATTTTAATTTTTTGTACTCTGTACATCAACATGCTGTCAACTTTTTGTCATGGTCACACATTATTCCACTACTTAGTGCTACATTTATTACGTGTACAGTGCATGTTATACAATCGGTAAGATAATAAATCGCAACTATAAACAACACATAACTAGTAAAGATGGCGTCGGTGTGTTAAAATCAATAAAATTATATAATTATATAACTTTTGAACAGTTTTAATGTTACTTGTAAACTTTTCATTTAATATGAGTAATACTATATCGGGCACCTGTGGCTTGTGTTTTTAAGCGTTTTTCTTGGAGATAAATATCAGTATAGCATTGTGATTGCAAAATTGATCAAATATGGTCATGTGAAAACAAGTCAAAAATTATTTTGTGGTTATTTTTAATATATTCGGCATAAAATATCGAATATATATTGGCGCGTAAAATCATTCAGGAAATAGTTTAAAAGCGAGTATTTTAACACACTCTTTAAAGCGATTCGGACCCTTTGTAGTTTCCCTGTTCATTTGATTAAACCGATTAACGTCTGAGTATAATCAGTTAATTGTAAAAAATGCACTCGTTTAAACCCAGTCTTAGTATATAAATTAGCTGTTTCCTGAGTGTTTGTCCACCTTAATTAAAGCCTATGTATCAAATATCCATATTGGAACAGTATTTTCGAGGGTTGCCTTCTACAAACTAACAAACAAAGTTAGAAACTTTTGATTAATAATAATATTAGTGTAAACACACGTGTGCAATATATTTCATATAAAAACAATATTTTATATTTCCACTAAACTGTTATTAAAAGAACAAATAGATAGATATATACTTAAATAAACTCTTTATTTTTAACACACAAATGAAAAGTAGTGCCAGTAGCACTCGGTTTGCGATACGGTTGTTAAGCCACTTTCACAACGGCCGCAATTAGGATGGGTGACCAACAATTTATTATCTCGTGCTCTTCCGTGCTTCGGAAGATTAAAAGGCTGATAATGATGATGACGAAAACTATCGATACTTGTATTATATCTACTTTAATTGCTCGAGAAGGTATTCGAACCTAAACTTTCGCAATGCAGACGACTGTTCTCACTAATTGAGCTGCCCAAGATCGTTATAAGACTATAGAATTTCTCCAGCTTTTATGAATTTCGTTAGTGATGAATGTTATTCAATATAGTTAATGTAATTTTATTGAACATAACATTGTTTTGAGTTAAAAACCGTTCCATTATCTTTTAAGTAAATAGAGCGGTCTCGATTATCCAACCGCACTTTCACCGTCACCGGGGTCGGTGGCGGTAGTTTATCTGTCATATAACCTCCAGTATACAATAATCCTAAAAAACAACAATCTCAAATAGATACGCATAATTGCGTATAAAAACGAAACCATATCATGTTATGAAAATATTCTTTTACAACTAGCGCGTTGATGTCTTTTATATGCCACAGATTTGTCTGACATATAAATTATTTTAAAATCATATATTTGAATAAATGATAATATGAATATTAGAAAATTGTGTAGTGAACAGAACACGGTATTCTTAAGGTAGTGTTCATTAAGACTATGACGTAACTGGTTGGCAGGAATCATATCTGAAGTACATACAACCTGGAAGAGAATACGTTGGTTTCATTAGTTACATAAACCAAATCACAGGTTTGAAACGGCTGTTTAACGAACCATACTGTTACATGAGCTGATAAGGACCTTCGTTTCTCTGAATTGATGTTTTTAAATTTACTACCTCCGAGCCAAAGTGGCTCGCGCGCTGGTTTCTGAGGTCCCGGGTTCGATTCCCGGTTGGGTCAATGTAGAGAATGAACTTTTCTATATTGTCTCGGATCTGGGTGTTGTAGTACCTTCTTTGTCTCAGACACTCCATAATAGGTTATTTATAATGTAAAAATCGATTTTGTCTACATTGTCTTTGGTATGGGTTTCGTTATACCTTCATTGCTTTAAATTTACATATAACAATTGGCTACTTATTTTGGGATCTGAACATGTATGTGATGTTGTGTTATATTTATTTAGTCTAATTTTAACTTTAATTTGTTTATAGTTCAAAAAAATACACGATTAAACCTACGGAATTTTTAAATAAGAAAATATAGTAAAAGGGAAGGCTGATCATCTTCAAGTGATCAGAAAATAATTTTTTGTTTGATCGTATTATTGTTTGTATATCCATATATATTTAAGACTAGAGCAGTATAAATATATATTACACTAGCTGTTTGCTCGGCTACTTCGGCTGCGTAAATTATAGCTTTTGTCATCCGCGTATCATGTAGCTATCCGTAGGTGAAAGAATTTTTAAATCGGTCCAGTTATTGTTGAATATATTTGATGTAAACAAACAAACATCGTGATAGCATGTCCGGTAAGTATAAAAATAAAATAAGGATTTGGTTAAAATTGTTTTCGGCTCTTCTGTCGGTACGGTAACGTCGATAACAATGCATTATTTTAAATTCAAATTGGTTTTCTTTTCACGTCATATTTTAATGCAATATTATAAAGAGTAAATATTTTCTTTTTCTTTATTTCTTTACAACAATTTTAGAAATTCTTTTACGAAACTATATTATCAGTCTATATTATCAGTATATCAACATGCTATTATGTAATTTTAAAATTTAAATACAAAGTTTATATGCACCGGCTACAATAATGTTAATATTTTAAATAGTTTGCAATCTTTTAAGCCATTTTATGATAACTTAAATATGATAATAAGCAGTTTGAAATTTTCTCTTTAATAAAGTATCATTGTAGAGACCGTTTAGATCAGTGAATCTACTGCATAACTGAAGTCCTGAATGATGTGTCAGCTGACAGATCAACCGACAGCAGACCAATATCTAGCATGGATCAGATCAATCTGGGCTTCAATCACGCAGTAGAGCCGATCAAGGATTCCAAAATAGCACCTTAGACCCCCATAAACTTTTATTAGTCGTTTGCGGAATTTTTCATCTCATTTCTTATCAATTTTTATATGTACAACAATAAACTTCATAATAAAATCTCAGTCATTGTAATAACTCTAAGTTGGTATGGTAGTATCACAACTGATAAAAGTTTTAAATATGAACTTATGTAAAATAATAGGGGCCGATTTTTTAATCCTTCATGATCCTAGAAATCAGTTTTCCTTTATGTTTTTATCCTTCATAAATTGATTTCGAGCCCAAGGGGTCGATATCAATCACTTCGGGAATCACTGGTTTAGATGTTCTAGTTCTCGATTCATTTCCGTGTTATGATCGTGTGCCAGCAGTTAGTCGTGTGTATTTCCGTAATAGATAGTATTCTAACAGTTTCTATATGATGTAACTGCGGCATGGGGTGACACAGCGTTCCACTAGCTAAGCAATAAACACTGATGTTGCCGAACATTTTTGGCGTAGGTACTATATTTATAAAACTTATAATGTATTCGATAACATAATTATAAAACTTATTGTTAAGATTATTGTTATCTACTATATTAGCTTTGACAGCACTTTAAATCAAATCATCATCTTCATCATAGCATCAATCCCGTTACATCCCCACAGCAGGGACTCAGGCCTTCCTTGTGGATGGTTAAGGAGGATGGGCCAAGACCCTCCACGCGGGCACAATGCGGATTGGAGGGTATTAACCACTGCAGACGGAGGGACTAACAGCTTAACATGCCTTCCGAAGCACGGAGTCGCTCGAGATAATAACTTTTTGGTCGCCCTTCCCGTGATCGACCCTTGCGAAAGTTGCTTTACAACCATGATCGCGGGTCGCGGCGCTTATAAACTATGCCACCGAGTTAGGAGAGTAGTTTAAATCACAATGAATACTAAATTCTTACATCATATTACCTATTAATATAAATTGCAAAGTTATCACGTATAAGCAGATTAATTATTAGTTGCAAACATCAATCTTTCTAAAATTATTGTACTCTAATATAATTTAAGATAGTATTTAATCTAATGAGGATATAAACTGACGATATTTATACAATTTTAAGGTGATTCATTTTGATTGATATTTGTAAGTATTTTAGAGTAGGTAGTATTCGGTCGTCATTTGAGCAATAAACAAATCCTTTTGATTAGAATAGAGTCATAGTTAGTAAGAGCAGTCAATCGGATCGCAAAAGGTTATTTGGTTAATGATTGAAATTTTAAAATATTTTACTATTTATTAGATAAAATCTTCATAGTTTCCTCATTTATAATGAAAGATAGTGTTTATTTTAAATTTCTTTCATTTATCCAGACTCGTCTAATGTAAAGTCGTTACATAATTTTATAAGTAAATATTACCTACTTTTTAAATCGATCCAGCCGATACTTCCAGATATGCTTATTTATGTAGCCTCCTTTTTTTATAATGAAAACTTTCAGTTGAAACACGTTACAGTCCCGTCGAAATAGTGAATTTCAATTGTTACAAAACGCGAAAATCGGTCGTCCAGTGCAACGTTCGTGCGCGATCTCGTGAGCACTGTGTCAATTCGACTGTCGGGTAACCGCTCGCTCTATCACCACCCCCCGCCGCAACATGTTACCCAACATAGTCCACTACACCAAACCAGAACATTATCCAATAAATTAGCTCGTAGGTTCAATACAATCTTCACCATATATTCGATTTATTTTAGGAAGTACGTATAATTTTATGATATTCTTCAAGTTCATAGCTTAGAGGTCTCCAAAAAAACTGCTCTCTTAAACAAAAGTGTCTAAATTCTGAAGAAATATTCAATATTAAAAAATAAGCTCACTAGCCGTGCTGTTCCGTTAAAAATACGCGTCGAACAAGCACGATTACAGCATTAGTGGCTCATTCAAATAAAACCTTTGTTACTTTTTGAAGTTTTTTTTATTATTGATACTCTATTTTTTCGCACATTGCTGAACATTATTCTAAATATCAAGCCTTCCTGACACATGTGCAATTAAAAAAATATAAAAATTCTTTTATTATATTCACTGTATCAGATCCATCGGATAAATTGACTATAATACCTCTATGATGATTAATAAAGTGACCGCACAATATTCTGAATGATCAAAATTGATTATAATAACAAAACGGAAAGCTTATAGCTTTAAGCTTATAGGTACATTTTAACTGTGAACTGTTTGGTTAAAATTTTTCAATTTTGGCATTCTAGATCTCAGAAAAAAAGTATAGGTATTACTCTAATTTTGACTTATTGAATAGTGCAGAATAACTATTTGCATGGTTCGTAGTAGCTACGCATTTTGCAAATTTAGCTTTACTTTTTATGAAACCCAAAATTGTAATTAAAAATCTTTATCTACACTCAAATATTAAAATTCGATTTTTTTAATTCAAAGACGATTCTATACGAACGCACTTTTTAAACGCATATACATACAATTAAAAATAATAGTAGTTTATGCAACTGTCATATAAGAAGGGGTATTAAAACACGAGAATCTGTTCATAGGCGGTACTTTAACTCATTAAAGTACCGCCAGCTGTATCATAAAACTCATTATAATACCGCTATCTTTTTTTATTCATTAAACTAGTCTATGGTTTTAGGCTGACTATGAAAAAAAAAGGCGCACGCATAAATTACTTCCTTCTAACTTACCTTTACCTTTACTTTGTATATTTTCGATTTTTCCTATGAGTATGAAACTGCATACAAAACGTATTAAAACACATCTCATGCGATAAACAGACACTCGTGTTTTGATATCCCTTCTCATACGACAGTCGCATAAACTACTATTTTACAATACAGCATTTGGTCTAAAATGAAATAAAGAATAGAATGTTATTGAGATGTTGGGACCTTGATTAGTTATACAAAAAAACAATCTTATTGTTAACCAAAAACACCTTTGAATACAGCTATAAGTTTCTCTTATTTATGATTAATATAATCAATAAAATTATAAATTATTGAACAAAATTAATAGCAGAAAAGTTATAGCTTGAATTTTAAGCACTATTATGCTATTTCACTTAGAACGATAAATATAACTGCAAAATTACTACAAAAAGCGCTACTCCAGCCGTCCACGCTCAATTTGTATGACCGTGTAGAGTTTGTTTGTATTTGTAATAGGGCTCTTATACTTATCTTTTAATTTATATTTTACTGAACCTCGCGTAAGAAACTCGAAAATTATATTTTTTTTGGCATTCACAATGCTCTTGATATTCACTAACGGATTAGAGCTGTTTCACAGTAAGCGATACGCCCGAATACCATCGCGGGCATATGAGACTGACGAATATTTTAATTATTTGTCTATGTGGTTCGAATGAATATTTCCATTCGTGTTTAGATAATTAAAATACGAAATTATCTCAGCATTCATCAAAGATCAAAATAAAAAAACCTTTTTGCTTTAAATTTGGGTCAATCCAGCTCGTAGATTTAGGTTACTTCGCTATTTAACCCTCTAATACACATAATATTCTGGATTAAAGTATGAAATTGCCGTTTCATTATAATAGGTTCCTTGAATTGACTTAGAATATTCATAGATTGAGGTTTTCGAAAGACACTTTTTTCACATGGTTTCTATGATGTTTGAATATCGACTTTCAATTGTTTTTGTTATTCAACTTAGACAAGATAGATGGATACTGCGAAAATTCGAGTGATTTTTGAATACGAGTTCCGACGCGGAAGTAACGCGGCAGAAACGGCCCGCTATATAAATGTTGCATTTGGATAGGGATCTGCTAATGAACGCACCATGCGATTTTGGTTCAAACGCCTTCGTAATAGAAACTTCGACTTGAAGAACGAGCCACAAGGAAGACTGCCCACACAGGTGAATAACGATGAATTAAGAGAGATGGTGGAAGGTGATCCTAGTCAAACTACCCAGGAATTAGCGGCAACCATGCCGCTAATTCCTGGGTAGTTTGACGTACCAACGTTACCTAGCCCTTACCCATAATATTGACTCATTTGCGTCAAATCAATAAAATGTTCTAAAACAAAACTTACGAATAAAAAGGTAATGGTAATTGTTTGGTGGTCTCAGCATGGTGTTATTCACTATAGTTTTTTTCTGATCTGGTCAAGCAATAACGGCAGATGTCCATTGTGCCGAACTCCGAACAATGATAGCAAAACTAGTAGTAAAACAGCCCCGATTCATGAATCGATCTTCACTATTATTGCTCCATGACAACGCGAGATTATTATTGGAGTTGATACAGGCTTTGAATCCTGCATACCGTATCTATGTAAGATTTTCTTAGTGTATGATGCCTGATGAATTAACAAACCATCTTCTCTGTTTATAATCTCAATACAGAGAAAATAACTGGCTGGTTTTGTGGTTATTTTAAAATTCTCTTGTAGTTGCACCAAAAAACTATCAATCAACGATTGACTAGTAGCAGCAACAAGTCCATCGTCCACATACAAGGCAACTATTATTTTTCCGTCACCTGACTGCTTTTTAAACAGGCAAGGATCTGCTTCACTAATTTGGAAACCAATTTCTTTAAAGAAATGTAGAATTGTGGTGTTCCAACATCTCGGAGCTCGTTTTAAGCCATAGAGACTTTTTTTTAACAAACAAACTCTACCTGAACCGTCATCATACTCTTCAGGTTGTTTCATGTATATGGTCTCATGTGATAAAGAACCATACAGGAAAGCCGTAGAGACATCAAATTGGCACATTTTTAATCCTTCGCTTGCTGCAATACTGACAACTGATCTGACTGTTGCCATTTTTGCGACAGGGCTAAAGGTTTGATCGTAATCTTCGCCTCTCTTTTGACGAAACCCTTTGGCTACAAGTCTAACTTTATATTTGTCTACAGTACCGTCAGCATTCAGCTTAATTTTATAAACCCACTTACATGGAATTGCTTTTCTGTCTTTTGGTAAGTTTTCAAGCACCCACGTTTCGTTTTGTTTTAACGACTCAATTTCACTGATCATTGCCTCCTTCCATAATTCTTTATCGGAACAAAAAATGGCCTCTTTGTAACAGGTTGGTTTGATATTCATGACAAAATCTTCGAATCGTTTACGTCGTTTTAGGACAGTACGATCTCTTAGTATCCTGTCCGATTGTTCATTCACCAATCTTTCCACAGTGTCATCAGTTTCGTTATTCGAAATTGCGTCATAAAAGTCACCATCCTCATTATCAACAGAATTTCTCACATCAGGTACAGTATCAACTATTTCGTGATTATCCACAACTGAGCTTTCTTTTCTACTTTCAGGTTCAATATGAACAATTCTTTGATTATTATCCACTGAAGTTTCTTCTCTGGTTTCAGACTTCTTGCGTAACTGAATTTCTGTCTCATCCTCTGTCATCAAGGATTTTTTCTTCTTATCTTTGACTTCAGACATAATTGATTTCTCATCAAACGTTACATCTCTTGATCTTACTACAGAATTTGTTTCTTTATGCCATAGTCTGTACCCATCGTCATTATCGTAACCTATTAACAGGCACTTCTTGGCTTTTTTATGTAATTTCTTCCTGTTTTCTTTAGGAACATGCACATAGCCCACTGATCCTATAATCCTCAAATGTTTGATCCGAGGTCTCTTCCCTAACCAAATTTCAAACGGTGATTTGTTTTGCTCTGTAGTTGGTCCTGTTCTATTTAAAATATATACAGCTGTATAAACCAACTCAGCCCACAATGACTCGGGAAAACCTTCGCATGCGTGCATCATCGTTCGAGCCATTTCGACAATTGTACGATTATCTCTTTCACAGCACCCGTTTTGCTCAGGGGTATATGGACATGTAAGTCTATGTTTAATACCCTCTTTCTTTAAAGTGTCTTCAAAATTTTTATTAATGAATTCACCTCCATTATCAGTCAATAATTCCTTGACAATGCGACCATGAGTCTTGGTTAAAGCAAGCATTTCCTTTAACTTCTCTGGAACTTCAGATTTCTGCTTTAAGAAATAAATGAAGCGAAATTTCGAATAGTCATCTTTAAAGAGTAGAAAATATCTGTGTTTAGATAGAGAAGGCGGAAATGGACCACAAACATCAGCATGTAATATTTCACCTGGCGATTTTGCCCTTATTCTGATGCCAAACTGTCGCCGATGTGCTTTACCGAATATACAACCTTCACACAATTCTCCCGTATCTTTAAGTTTGATGTCTAATTCTCTCTCGACCAGACTTTTCACATATCTTTTATCTTGATGACCCATTCGTTCATGGTACAGCTGCAATGTATCCACAGCAGTCACAGAAGCATTTGCTTTAGATTGCACCGCTGAGCATTTCAGCTTATAAAGTCCACCAAATATCTGTCTACGTCCTGCCACAACAACCTTCCTGTTAATTTCCATTGTGCATGACGTGACCTTTGACTGAAATAGACTGTCGGGATTCTTATCGTGTGCCGCTAACACCGAAAATAAATTTCTAGCTATACTTGGTACAAACCAAACATCTCTTAGAAAAAATTCTTCACCATTCGCTTTCATTCTTATTGTGCCTTTTCCTACAGCTTCAACTACGTCACCATTCGCTGTGGTAACAGTGTGGCGTTGATCAAAGTGTATGAAATCATAAAACAAGTCTTCACGCATCGTAACATGGTGAGTAGCCCCGTTGTCTACGTACCAAGATTCACGATCCAGACTACACTCTACAAGGCTGCTAAAGATATTCATATTGGTACTCGTAGTGCCTTCAGCTGAACTGGTGCTACTATAAACTTTTTCTTTCTTCTGAGGACAGTCCTTTCTAATGTGACCTACTTTCTTACAAATGTAGCATCTGACTTTACATCCTCCGTTTGGTACTTTCTTGGCGCGTGCCGATGCTTTCGGTTTCACTGTGAGAGCTTCGCCAGATTTCCTGAATTCACCATCTAGGTTATTCCTCAATGCCCTTTCGTGAGAGCATAGCTGGCTAGTGATGTTTTCAACAGTACGATCCTTTTTGGACATCAACAACCAACTCGACTTGAATGAAAAATATTCTTCAGGCAAAGTATCTAGAATTTTGCATATCAACAAAAAATCTGGTAGTTTAGTTTCGTCATTCCTTGCTAGTTCTAAATGTAACTTATGCCAAATATTTTTAATCTTGGAGATGTGAGTAGATATATTTTCAGTATCCATCTTTTTATATTGGAAAAAATCCATACAGGTTTCGTACAATTTATCATCTGTTGACCCATCAAATATTCTATGTAATTCGTCCCATACATCCTTCGGGTTTGTAAATCGAATCACTTTCTCGAGCGTCTCATCAGAAATATTATTTGTTATCAAGAGCAAGGCAGTACTTTCTAGTGTACAGTACTCCTTAAGACGTTTTTCATATAGTGCATGAGCAGCCACTACATCAACGTCACCACCAGCAGCGGTTGTTTGTTCAGGCTTCTGTACTTTACCCACAACAATATCCATAATGCCGTCCATGCCTCGAAGAACTGCAGACATACGGCATTTCCACATGGTATCCAATTGTTGGTATTTCCATCAAGTTTTGGAATCTGAATTTTACTGAATTCCATACTTCCAAGCAAAAATATAGTTTTACTTCCAGCGTGATAAGCCCATAACCACTTAAAGGTAGAACTTAATAAAAAGCTTTTACAAACAACCAAAACTTAAAAATTCCATTTATTGACAACATCAAGAAGAACAGAGTAAAAAAAACAATTTAAACACCAAGTTGTCACTAATAAAACTATAAATTAAACAAGAAGGTTTTCAACGTAAAGGAGTTTACTCCATTAGTTACAACTACACGTTACTGACATTCGAATGGGTTCATAAATATTTATTTTATGCGTTCAAATTATCAATACATCCGACAAAAGCAAAATATTAAAAACTAAAAATATCGTATCCAATTTAGGAATTTTATATTGCTAGTTCTTGTATTGAATTGAATCGGTCTGATTTGAGGGGATTCATGAATCGTTTCAAGAAACGATGTAGCAAGTCAAATCGATCTGAGAAAACGATTATTTTACTCTACATAATCGATTTTTCGATTAATCGACCTCACATCGACTTGCCTAATTTACATTACATCCCTAGACCAGTCATCCATCCGCTCACGACTGATGTCATGTAAAAACAATTTTAGGGTATTTTTAATACGTAAATGACAAATTTTCCTAGTATTGATTCATCTAGTGTTATAAAGTTTATTCAACAAAGGTTGTTTTTTTTTCAGAAAATACAGTGCTATTGTTGTGGTGTGATATATTGATTTAGACAATATAATATTGTTTCTTACGAAAATGGCTACTAATCAAGGTCCTAGTGCTTCCGCACCGGAAGATTTACCTCCGCCTTATTCTGCGGTGGTGGGGAACCAACAGATTGGATTCGTAGTTCCAGGCGGAGAGCCAGCTCCCTCAGGGGCGTATCCACATCCCCAGCCACCAAAACAGTTTACTGCTCCAGGAGTGTATCCACATCCCCCAACTACAGTGACTAGTATGCAACCCCAAATGGGTGGTGTGCCACCGCCACCGCCTGGTGTCCCCATCGGGGTTGTTTTACCGCCAGCAGTAGGCACGGAACCCACAACAATGACATGCTTTAATTGTGGAAAAGTTGTTACCACAAGAGTTTCATATACAACAGCTTGGCATACTCATCTTGTGGCTGGCTCTGTTTGTGTGATTACCATGTAAGTTTAATACATAGTGCTTAACTATGCACTGTTAATATAAAAAAAAAACTATTAATACCAGTAAAGTTGTCAAAAAAAAAGCCTTGCCTTAACCATATAAAAAATCACAAGTTTAGTACTCCGATTTTGATAGGACTAATCTCAAAAAGTCTTTAAATGTCATCATACAGAAATCAGATATATATATATATATATATATATATATATATATATATATATATTATTTGGTTCATTGGCAAGACACAGGTAGATTACAAACTATTGATTTACTTAATATTTTCCTATCTTCTACTGAAAACGGTTATATATTTCTGTAAAATAAATGTCTCTTTACAGGTTCTGTTCACTGTGCTGCCTTGGCCTAGTGCCATACTGTTTTGACACATTTAAAGATGCCGAACACTACTGCCCAAACTGCAATACTTTCATTGGAAAATGTAACAAATGTTAAAAATATTTTGCTTGGACTTCAAATACACATTAATTGGAATTCTAGGGATGATGCTCCATTGAAGAAATAAATGTCTATTCTGGCAGAGTGGAATAGATCAAAAAGAGCAGTGTGTCCTGTAAAGTAAATGCAGTCAGAACAATCAATCTCCTGTGACTACCTACAAAATATGATTAATACATCATTAATACATATTGTTTAGAGGGCAGCCATGTAAAATAAAATAATTGCATTGTTTAATGGTCATCACACCATTCTATGATGCCTCAATGGAGTGGCACCCTAATAAATACACTATAAAAAAGCTGACTAGCAAGACTATGTAATATTTGTTAAGTCTTTTAGGTGTTGATTTTTATTGTATTATTTTTTGATTTATTTATTTTATATATCATTTATTTTACACTTTTAATTTATTTATTTTATATATTATTTATTTTGTCAATTTATTCCTATTCTACAACAAGTTAAGTAATGCAATGTTTTTTTTTTTGTAACATTTATTTACTTCACCTGTGCTAGTTTAATGTACATCAGAAAAGATACAAATTATAGTCATAATTACTAGATTTTCTCACAATCACATTCTATAATAAATTGTTACATGATTTTTTTTATTAGCTTTGTTGAAAGTAGCTATTTACATTACAACTGAAACAAATGACTGACAGTTAGACTGAATATTTAGAGAAATTATCATGTTTGATATTTTTTTGAACCTATTACAAAACTAAGTTGGTAATCTTTGTGTATTATTCATTTATTTAGAGTAAATAGTAGCGATTGCATTTATTATATATCAGGAATGAATTGTAAGAAATATTCTATGACTGTGACAATAAGGGCTAATGAGTATATATGTTATGTAAATAATCTGTTTCCTTATAATGTGTCATACAATTATATTCATGATTGATCATCTCTCATCAAGTAAGTGCTTCTTTCTCAATCTATCCAAGATTTATTTGAGAAACTGTTTATAGTAATGATAAGAAGTTTAAAATCGTGGCCATCATTTATTTTAAGTATTACATTTACTTCCTAATTAAACATGCATTTCCATTCTCATTTGTTTTAGTTTAAAATTATATTGTTTGAAATACCTATATTTAAAATAAAAGTGTGACAATGATAAGTTTGTTTGATTTCAATTGTATTTGTAAACTTTTTCATACATTTGTAAAGCATAGTTACACAATAAAGTTGCAATTTAAGAATCATTACTAAATAACTTTCAACAAGATTTTAAATCAATTTGATTTGAATGATAATTTTGAATTATCCAACATGCTATTTACTGTACAGTCAACTGCATATATTTACTATTCAAAATAAACTGAAAATTTGATATGTAGTGGTTAAGAATTATGTGAACAAAGAGTTTTACAATAATATAAACCATCATATGTTGCCTTTATCGAACATTATCTTCATGATAAGAAGTATGGAGTGTCTGATATAAGATAAAATGTTATCATTCAAATACACTATGTAATAAATATTTATTTAGCTATACAAATAGTGTTTAGCAGTAATAATGGTACAAAATAGTATTAACTTTATTGAAAATCATAGCACAGCAGCTGAATTACATGTACAAACAGAAACAATTGACTATAGAGAACCCCCACCACCATATTCAGTTTTTCCTAATAATGACTCTTCAATTGTCAGTCAACCAACCATACATCAAACGATTATAGTGCAAACACCTCTGCAAGATAAGCCAACTTTCTACAACTGTAATAACTGTAGAGAAAGGGTTCTGACCAAAGTTGAAAAAGTTAACACAAGGAAAACACATATGTTAGCTGGATTTATATGTGGTTTAACATGGTGAGTATTCATAGGTGTGCTGCTATACACAGGCTGGGTCTGCACATTTGATTCTGCAATCAAATGATATTCAGAGTGTTGTCATACCTTTGTTTTTATGAACTTATACCAACTGGCTTTAGTTAATTAGTTTAGAATTTGATTGTCACAAACATTTTGATTATGATGCAATAATTATGAATTATGTTATTAGTTGATATATTAAAGCAAATGAGCTGACTCGCTTATATGTATACCCTTTATAGTTCGAGCCTTAAACATTGAAAGAATATTAATATATCTTGCACTTTTGCAGTTGGTGTATGCTATGCTGCTTAGGCGCTTTACCTTATGCTATACCAGCTTTAAAGAAATCCAAACATTATTGTCCTAATTGTAACAATTTTCTGGGAGACTATGTAAAAATTTGAAGTTAAAGAAATTGCATAATCTGTAAAAATACAACACAATTTAAAAATATAAAAATATTGTTTTAATTTTTTTTATTATCTAAAGGTATGACTAAAAGTACAAGAACTACCTTAATTTTATTTGTTGTTAATCATATAATTGAAAAAAATTAATGTCCATAGTAACTTCCCCTCTATAAAGTAAATTACTTGAGGATGACAGGAACTAAAAAGCAACCACATTGATTGTTCTTAAAATACATCTATTAATTTGTTCTTAAAAATACATCTATTATAACAGAAGTATAAACTTACTTATACTAATAGATAGCAAATTATGTTAAAAATGTGATCAAGTTAGCTATATGGGACTTGTAGTCTGAAGCAATCTGACGCAATCTTCCATTTTCCGTCAACAGCTACAATAAGGAATGTTTGTTGAAAAGGTTTCTTTGTCTCGTCATTTTGGTACACGACATCGCCACAAGCCTGGATAAGATAGGTGAGTTTATTGGAGACTAGATTTTCTGATATTGGCTGAGCATCCAATGTTTTTAAAACGTGGGTGCTAGCCGGTAAGTCCATGAGGAATTTTTGAATTTTATCACTGCCGTTTATTCCGTTTCCATTCCACACCAATAGACCAGTGTCTAAATACAACTTCGAAGTTAGATGTCGACTATTATCTACTTGTTTATAAAATACTCTAGTAAATTCTTCAGCTGTTTCACATGCATTGTCAATATTTTTCACGACGACTTCCGACATTATGTTATTTTGATGTTATTCAAGCATTAACCATTAACTAAAAATAACATCAACAAACAACGGTGAAGTATTTGAGATCAACGATAGTAGGCACAAGCACAAACTACAATAATCAGCAAAACCAGCAACGAAACAGATTCTAGGTTTGGTTTGGTTTGATTTGTTGCAGGGACATTTCCACAGACTAAGAAGATGCTACGTATGACATTTCCATACAAATGACAGATGACAGTTTTACTAGCGCCATCGTAAGGATCTAGCCGTAAACTGAAATATCAACAGTGATTTGGCCGATTCATGTTATAATAGGTATCTCGCTGGAATCGCCGTATAATACGCCGCCTTGTTAAATATAAAAAAGAAATCTTCCACCCACAATATGTTATATGGTTATCAAAAAGTGTCTCAGCTCTAAGAAAAGTATAACTAAAAAGGTTCCGGGCTTAGAGTGTAGCAGCTGTAACAAAGTTATTCATGCCGACCCAACATGTTCTAAACTGTCAAACAAACATCTCAACATACTGAGATATACTACTAACATGGAATGTAGCTGAGAAGTATGTATTCAAAATGCATCCAGATCATCTTTTATCATACCAGACTAAGAAGCAGACGATGACTCTGTGGTGGATCAAGCCGTAGAAGGGACTTTGATTTGTTTGGATACAAATAAATTGATACAAGATATCAGCAGGAATATAGAGAAAACGTTTCGTGAAGAAATCCAAATTTATTGGTGACCAGATTAAAGCCATGGAAAATTCAGTTAAAAATCAAGACAACAAGATTAAGGATCTAGAACAAAACAATCAAGATCTAGTTAAAAAGAATATCTAATGAATGAAAGAGTATATAAAAACCACTACAAAAGCACTAGATGGCAACTCTACCAAAAGTTAATTTTTGCAGAAAACGAATGGACCAAAGATTATTATTTACTTTTTTTAAGTTTCAAGTCGATTCTATTAATTCAAAAATTATTTCCCTTCATGCTTTTAGTGATATTGATATTTTTAAAATAATCGTATTATTTGAGCTCTCTGGCAATGCCCTTATTTTGACGTTTTCCTGGAACGTTACGTCCCTCGATTTTATTGCATCTTGCCCTGTCCAGATCCTGAATCCATCGTCTTGCTCATATCCAATCAGTCGACCTTTGATGGTTTTCTTAACCAACTTCTTGCGTTGCTGTTTGGGTACGAGTGTGTTAGAATTATTAACATTTGATTTTATCAAATGTTATAATAATTATTATTTGATTAATTAATTTATTGCATAATTTGTACGTAATATGATACTTTTTCAATATTAAAGTATTTCCTGTTACGAATAAAAAGTGCTGCTTTGTAATTGGTCGACGACATCCCCGCCAGGCGTATGGCCGGGTGGGACGGCGTGACAGGTATTTAAACGGCCTCGCACCGACTCAGAGATTCATTCTGTGCTCGGCGCTCGGACTGTACGTACTGTCACAACCTAGTGCTATAACTCCGTCAAAGTTATACAGGCTGATCATACCCGAGGGTACCGTGTATAAGATAAGTATATAGTGATACTAATTGCTCCATTGTATGGATATGAATATATATAATTTAAAAACTATAATTCAATTGTTTTACTAGTGTTTCAAGGTATAGTGTAGAATATAAGATAAATATAAAAAGTTGATTAAGTAAATATACATAAATTAAAAGTTGCTATGTATTTTTTATTTATCTATATACCCCAATTCTGACATCAGAAGTGGGACCGTATTCTGTCCTAATTTTTTTATTTTTATTTCTCTTTTTATAAGGGTCAAGGATTTGTTGCGACATGGATCCTGCCATGCTCGAGGGGCTGCTAACAGCTATACGCGATGCAGTATCCTCCAAGTCTAGGCAGGATGATATCGCTCTACCGCTGTATGATCCCGAGAAGAGTGACAACGGTGCCGAATTTTGGTGCCGTAATATAGAAAAGCTAGGCCAGGAGTTCCAGTGGAGCACCATCCAGCAAGCAGCTAAAGCCGGAAAGGCCCTTCGGGGATCTGCTTTGTCCTGGTTTGAAACCTGGGAGCCTGAATCGGGACGTACATGGGAAAACTTGAAGAAAGATCTTGTAGACCTTTATCCCGAAAGAAAAAATTTATCAGATAAATTAACCAAGGCTGCGCTGTATTCATCTGACTCTGCAGATAGTTATTGTGAATATGCTAGGGAAAAGCTTAGACTGTTGCGATGTACTAAGATTTCTTTCACGGAACCACAACTTATAGAGCTTATTAGTGGAGGTGTTCGAGATGCTAACGTTCGAATTACTTGTCTCAATAGCTCTGTTACAACCACGTCTGAACTTATTACACTATTTTCCTCTTATGTCAAACAAACTAGGAAAAGATCATCCGATTTCCATAATAATTTTGGCAGACCTTCGTTGTCTGGTGAAGCTAGTATGCCAGGACCGAGTAATCAAAAGCGCTTTAAAATTGATTCAAATCAGCAAACTGTTAGTAAAGATAAAAAACGGTGTTATAATTGTGGGGAGGTGGGACATGTCAAGGCTCAATGTTCGGTAAACGATTCTTCTGATAAAACTATTAAAATTGACAACGTAAACAAATCTGAACATGTTTGTACTTTTTGTAAGAAAACTGGTCACCTTGCTGAAAAATGCTTCTTTAAACCGCGTGTTCACAATACAACAAGTGATTCTAATAAAATGTGACTAAAACCTACTGAAGTATTTATTCACGATCATAAAGTAAATTGTATATTAGATACTGGTGCAAATTGCAGCCTCATAAGGGAATCCGTAGCAAGGCGGCTTGAATGTCACATTTCTCCATGTTCTCTATATATTGATGGAATAGGTAAGGGGAGACTACACGTATTTTCAAAAATAATAGTCCCTTTAAGGTTTGATGACGTATGTCTTGAACTAGAATTGTATGTAGTTAGAGACTCGGATTTCAAATACGATTGTTTAATTGGGACTAACATAATAAAACACCCTGATATAGCAATTGTATCCGATGTAAACGGTAGTAAGATAATCCGATTAAAACCCTCCATAGTTAGTGAGCCTGTTGTTAATTTGGCTGTTGAAAAAGAACACGAATGGTCTGATTTAATTGAGTCGGTAAAACATTTAGAGTCAGATTTGCAAAATCAAATTAGATCAATATTTGTAAAATACCCTATGATTTTGCCACGACCGGATAGGCTCCGTACAGTCCAAACTGGAGAGTTAAGAATCAGGTTGAAAGAAGATAAAATTATTAACTATAGACCCTATCGCTTAGCCCCTATTGAAAGAGAAAAAGTAAAGGTAATCATTAAGGACTTAATAGAAAGTGGTATTGTTCGTGAGAGTGATTCTGATTTTGCCAGTCCGGTTCTTTTGGTTAAAAAACAAGATGGTAGCGACCGATTATGTGTTGACTTTAGAGCGTTGAACAAAATCGTCGAAAAAGAACGATACCCTCTTCCACTTATACAAGACCAACTGGATCAGTTAGGAAATTCTAAATATTTCATATCTATCGATATGAAGAATGGCTTTTACCAGATACCTATTTCACAGGAATCCTCCAAGTATACTGCTTTTATTACCCCTGACGGTCATTACGAATTCCTGAGAATGCCTTTTGGGATTTGTAATGGTCCATCCGTTTTCCAAAGGGCAATAAGTAAGGCAGTTCAACATCTAAAATTTTTGTTAGTTTATATAGATGACCTATTGATCCCCTTTTCTTCCATTCCTGAAGGACTATCATATCTGGAACAAACGCTCGAAGCTCTCAGTGCCGCCGGGTTTACAATAAATATAAAAAAATGCAGGTTTTTTGAGACAAGTATCGAATATTTGGGTAATATTATTTCCGAGCATGGCATTAGACCAAGTGACAAAAAAATTTCCGCACTAATTAACTCACCAATACCTTGCACAGTCAAGCAGGTTAGACAGTTTATGGGACTGGCTAGCTATTTTAGAAAATTTATTCCAGATTTCGCTACTTGTACTGCCGCCATTACTAAATTAACTAAGTTTGATCAAAAATGGGAATGGGGTCCAGAACAAGAAAAGGCTCGTAACTATATAATAAAACATCTCGTTTCAAAACCTTTGTTAGCAGTATTTGACCCAAAACTACCAACGGAGCTTCATACTGACGCCAGTGCTCTTGGCTATGGTGCAATATTGCTTCAAAAAAACAATAATATCTATCACTAGAGTGGTGGGATATTTCAGTAAGAGAACTTCGCCACCGGAGACTAGATATCATTCCTACGAATTAGAGACCCTTTCTATATACAATGCTTTAAAACATTTTCGTGTCTATTTACTTGGAGTTGATTTCAAAATATTAACTGACTGTAATGCCATAAAATCTACCTTCCATAAAAAGGATTTATCACCACGAGTTGCTCGCTGGTGGACTTATATGCAAGATTTTTCATTCGAAATTGTGTAAAGAAAAGGCAAGTTTATAAGTCACGTTGACTACCTTAGTCGAAACCCCGAAATGATACCTCAATTAGTACCAACAAAGGCTTTGCCTCCTGAACTAGCAGGGGAGGTAAATTTAATAGACCCACCGCAATCATGGTTGCATATAGCCCAAGAAAGAGATCCTGAAACCCAATCCCTACTAGAAAAGGTGCGTTCTGGGGAGCTCGACGTTAATCAATATGTTATACGAAACAACTTATTATATTACAAAGTTGACTTCAGCGCTAAGCCCAAATTGTATATACCAAAAGGCAGTAGGCTGAGTATTCTTCGTCTTTTCCATGACGAAAATTGTCACATAGGTTTTGATAAGCTCTTTAAAAAGATATTTGAATATTTCTGGTTTCCCAGTATGAGTCGATTTATAAAAAAGTATCTGTCACATTGTCTAGTTTGTATAAAACAAAAATCACACCACGGGCCAAAGCAAGGATTACTACATCCGATAGAAAAAAACTCCTATTCCATTCCATACAGTACATTTAGACTGTACAGGTCCGTTTAGT